ATGAGTCCTTGAACAATCCAGCACAATGACTGTTCACCCAGCAGTTACTTACATTGTATTAGGTATTGTAAGGAATATAGAGACGATTTTTTTTTTTTTTTTTTTTTTTTTTTTGGTGGTGGTGCTGGGGATTGAACCCAGGGCCTTGTGCATGCTGGGCAATCACTCTGCCACCTGAGCTATATCCCCAGCCCTAGAGATGATTTTCTTTTTTTTTTTTAATATTTATTTTTTAGTTTTCAGTGGACACAACATCTTTGTTGGTATGTGGTGCTGAGGATCGAACCCGGGCCGCACGCATGCCAGGCGAGCGCGCTACCGCTGAGCCACATCCCCAGCCCCTAGACATGATTTTTTTTTCCATAGGCAAATTTTTATTAAATCTTCAAGGAACAAATATTACAATTGTATTTTTTTCTTTCAAGTCCCTCTCCCCACCCCACCCCGAGATGATTTTTAATGTATACTAGAAAAGTCAAGTATGGTGGTGCACACTTGTAATCCCAAATACTCAGGAAGCCGAGGCAGGAGGATCGAAGGTTCAAGGCCAGCCTTGGCAGCCCAGTGGTAACACACACCTGGGTGTTCAATCCCCAGTACCAAAAAATAAAAATAAAAAAACATCCCTCCCCAGCAGAGTGTCTGGCATGGAGTAAAGATGCTCAATAAGGGAGTGAGGTTATGGCTCAGTGGATGAGCACCTGCCCGGCATGTGTGGGGCATTGGGTTCAATCATCAGCATCACAAATAAATAAATAAAGGCCCATTAACAACTAAAAAATATGAAAAATATATACGTGTGTGTTTGTGTGTATGTGAATGTGTGTATTGAAACCCAGTGCCATACACCTATCATCCCAGCAACTTGGGAGGCTGAGACAGGAGGATTGCAAGTTCAAAGCCAGCCTCAGCAACAGCGAGGCCCTAAGCACCTCAGTAAGACCCTGTCTGTACATAAAATACAAAATAGGGCTGGGTTGTGGCTCAGGGGTCAAGTGCCCCTGAGTTCAATTCCAAGTAACAACAACAAAAAAAAAAAGTGCTGAGGCTGTAGCTCAGTGGCAGAGCGCTTGCCTAGCACATGTGAGGTACTGGATTTCATCCTCAGCACCACATAAAAATAAATAAATAAAATAAAGGTATTTTAAAAAAAGAATTTTGAGTGAATAAATGACCTCATGCAATGCTCACGATCCAGCTATAAGGCAATCCCTGGGACCAGCCTGGGGGGATGCTGACCCAACAATCCCCTGTCTGGGCCCAGCTGTTTATCTGCAGAGCTGGCGCAGGTCAATATTGGAGCTGGTGGGGCTACCTGGCTCTGGAGGGTCACAGAAGGGCAGGGACAGGGCAGCGGGGACACAGGAGTTCTGTAACAAAGTTTCAGAGGGTGGAGCCAGCCAGGCCGCTAAGTGGAGGAGAATGTGGGAGGAACCCCTGGACGCAGCTGGCCAGCTGGCTCCCTGAACCTCTGTGAATTCACCTGGGAAGACAATAGCAGTCACAGTCTGGAGCCAGGTGTGGTGGCACACACCTGTAGTTCCGGTTACTCAGGAGGTGGCACTCAGGAGGGTCCCTTAAGCCCACACGTTCAAGATAAGCCTGGGCACCGGTCTCCGTGGCCCAAGCCTGTAATCCCAGTGGCTCAGAGGCTCAGGTAGGGGAATCGCAAGTTCACAGCCAGCCTCACCAATTTATCGAGGCCCTAAGCAGCAATTCAGTGAGAGTTTTCTCTAAATTAAATACAAAAAGGGCTGGAGATGTGGCTCAGTGGTTCTGTGCCCCTCGGTTCAATCCCCAGTGCCAAAAGAAAAAAAAACAGCCTGGGCAACATAGTGACATCAGCCGACATGAAGGATTTAAAATGCAGAAGGCTTCGGGATCAGGGCGTGGCACCTATAACCTCCTGGCACCTAAGACCTCCTTGGGGTAGACCTGGCTGGTGACTTGGATCCACAGACCAAACGGCAAAACAGACTTGAAGAGTTGAGTTAGGGATGCGTAGCCATGGGCTGCACCAGTCCAGTCGGGTGCACTCTGCACTTTACAGTTGATTCCCAGTGACTCCCAGAGGGACCCGAAGGGACCAGAGCTGCTCAGTGGTAGAGCAAGTGCTTAGCATGCTCAAGGCCTTGGGTTGGATCCCCGGGGGGGGGGGGGGATGAAGGAAAATAAGGGACAGTGTAGGAGACAGGACAGAGCACAGGGTGGGCTGAGGGGACAAGAAGACCCAAGGGGCAGAGCCGAGCCCAGAAGAGATGCCATGTAGTCAGCTGTTGTTTCATTTACTTACTTATTTTTGGTAACAGGGACTGCACCCAGGGGTGCTTAACCACTGAGCCACATCCCCACCCTTTTTTATTTTTATTTTGAAACAGTGTTTTGCTAAGTTGCTGAGGCTGGTTTGAACTTGGGATCTTCCTGCCTCAGCCTCACAGGTCACTGGGGTTACAGGCATGTGACGCTGTGACAGCTTGTATTTTTTCAATGCAGTATTGGGGATTGAGCCCAGGGGCCACAGACCTAACCCAGACACACCCTACCACCCCATTTTCTTTTTTCTTTTCTTTTTTCTTTTTTTTGCTGAGGCTGGCTTTGTACCTCCTGCCTCAGCCTCCAGAGCTGCTGGGATTAGAGGAGTGTGCCACCATGCCCAAGTGGCCAGCTGATTTTTGACAAAACTCCACAGTCACAAGCTAGGAGAAACAAAGTCTTCCCCACAGACTTTTCAAGAACAAATGGAGAGGGGCTGGGGTTGTAGCTCAGTTAACGAGTATTTGCCTCACATGTGTGAGGCACTGTACTGGGTTCAATCCTCAGGACCACAGAAAAAATAAATAAAATGAAGTTATTGTGTCCATGTACAAACACACACACACACTCGCGCACACACACACACGCGCGCACACACACACACACACACACACACACACACACACACATACACACCACAAATGGACAGCTCTATAGACACCAACCTCAACCCTAAACTCACACCACAAATATTACTCAGGGATGGGGACGGGGCTCAGTGGCAGAGCGCCTGCCTGGCATGCAGAGTCCTGGATTCCGGCGCCAGCACTGCAAACAAAACCTGAAACATAACGTGAACTCAAAGTAAATCATAGGCCAATCTAAGCCACAAAGGGTTGCAATGTCTTGAATGCCCCCCACAGTGCAATGTTGGGAAGAATCCTCAAGTTCCTACATTGATGCAGGGGGCCCTTTGGGGAGTAATTAGGATTAGATGGGGTCATGGTGGGGCCCCTGCCTTGGTTTTGTTAGAAAGAGAGCAGAGTTGGCAGGTCTGCTGCCTCATCATGCAATGTCCAGCGCCAGTTACCAGGCAAGGGGCCCTTGCCAGATGCCAGCAGCATGCTTTTGGACTCCCCAGCCTCCAGAACTGAGAGCTAAACCTCCCTGCTTTATAAATGTTCTTGTCTCAGGTATGCAGTTTTAGCAACAGCAAATGGACTGAGACTGATATTTAGAAAACAAATCTAAGGGCTGGGGTGTGGCTAGAGATAGAGCACTTGCCTAGCATGTGCAAGGCCTGCAGTTACACACACACACACACACACACCAAAGGAAAAAATAAATGTGGAAAATCTTGCAAACTTGGGCTCACTGCCTGCATAGGAAGCACAAGAAAAACCAAACTGAAAAACTGAACTTCATTGTAATTTTAAACATCTGCTTTTTGGGAGATATAATTAAATGTGAGCCACGAGTGAGAAAAGAAGTCACAATCCCTTCTGGGACAAAGGACTTGTCCCCAGAATATACAAAAGTGGTCAAAGAACAGGGAGCCCAGTACTGGAGCTTCTCCAGCACACGGTCAGCACTTGGGAATGACAGCAGTGACGGTCACATAGGACCAGCTGGAAGGTCACCCAACCATCCAGGATCAGCTGCCCAGCCGGTGGCTGAGAGCTGGGCATTGGCCAGGTCAGTGAGAATGAGAAAGGCAGGGCGTTCTGACTGAGGGAACTGCAGCCCCGCCTCCAGGGAAGGCCCCTTCTAGGGGACAGACACCAAAGGGGACTGACGCTGGAAAGGAGGCACAGGCTCAAGCCACCTGTGGCCTTCTGCCCCCCGCCCATAGCCATTCCAATGGCAGAAAGAAAGGGCCTGGAAATAGGGCACAGATTCAGGTCCTGTGGGGACAGGTGTACACGATACCTGTGGAGGTCTACTTTTGGGGACCTCCTCATTCCTGGGGGCAGGATGGAGCAGCAGGAAGAGCCAATGAGCTATGAGGCCCGATGCTGGCTCTACCCATGCAGGCTGTCATGGTGGGCAACTCACAGGAGGCATTTCCAGTCCCAGGTGGTGGGGAGAGTCCAGTGGGATTGGAGGTAGCTCCTGCCCGGAGCCCTGCACAGTCCGGCCTTGCTGGCTACCCACCCTCACCAACCTCCCAACACGCTGGCCTGATCCTGCCCCTGGGCCTTTGCACCCATCGTGCTGCTGCATGGAAAGGGTTGTTGGCTGGATGAACAAGCATACCCCGAGGCCACTGAGGTCTCAGTGCACAGCACTACCTGGGAGAGTCTTCCTGGATCCCCAGCCACACCCCTGGACCTCCACTCAGGTGTTCACACCCTTCTCCTGGGTCCCATTCCCCACCCCCCCCAGCTGGGGATGAAATCCAGGGCAAGTACTCTCACACCCCAGCTGCTCATCCAGGTCCTGGGAGGCCAGGAACCTGGTGCCTGTGACACATCACTGAAGCAAGGGGTGATCCTCCAGGCTCGCGTCAGGGCCTGCTGGGATCCCTGACCCTCGATGAGAACAAAGTTCACGAGGCCGGGTGACAGGTGGAGCTGGGTGGGCGGTTCCTCTGCTACATCACCCCACTTCTCCAGGCTGTTCCTCCCTCTGTAAAGCAAGTCTTTGGCCCCAAGGGGAGACCCCCACTCTAGCCTGCCCTGTTAGCCCACAGCGCTGCGTGATCCTGGATGAACCCCAGCCCAAGTGGCAATGAAAGAGGCTCCGGAGGCCGCAGCGCGGGTGGAGGCTTTATTTCACTGTGGGGGAGCCTGGACAGAGGGCGGCAGGCAGGGCAGGAAGGGCTGGCGGTCAGGTGGGAACTGGGCGGGGTGGGCTGCCCCCAGGCCTACTTAGGAGGGGAAACTGAGGCCGGCCCAGGGGGACCGAACCCCACGGGCAGGGGTGGGGAAGCGGAGCTGGGTCTGCAGGGACAAGGCCCTCCCTCTGGGCTGCCCCTCACTGCCTCCTGTGGGGTCTCAGTCCCTCTTGCTCTCTGGGCTTTGTGACCCCCGATCGTTGCTTCCCCGACCCAGAGGAGGGGGCCAGGCCACAGAGGACAGAGGACAGGGAGCCGGGGAGTGAGGAGTGCAGGGGGGTCCACGGTGTGCAGAGGGGGTGGCAGCCACCTGGTCCATCAGTTCCTGGCAGCGATGACCACAGAGAGCGCCACGCCCCCCAGAGCCACAGCAGTCGCCCCAAACAGCCACTTCCACGGGATGGACTGTGAATAAAAGGGAGAAGGTGACCAAGATGGCGGAGGGCAGCCATGACTGGCTTCCTGGGCCTCTGTTCCCACCATGCTCCAAACAGGCCTCCTGGCAAAGCCCTGCTGGCCACGCCTTTCCTCACTCACCGAAACCCAAACCCCAGGTCACCTCCTTGTCCCCGAAGAGCCCCACCCCCACCCAGGTCCCTCAGCACCAATACACCCGACTCAGCGCTGGTCAGCGTAGGGCTGGGCCTCTGCCACCCCAGCTTCCCCGGCATAGCCGGTGACAGAGGACTCCGGCAGGTGCGGGATGAGAAGCGTCCCACTCTCTACCTGCGGGCCCTGGACCTCAGGGTCCCGTGCCCACGCACTGCTCACCCAGGCGCCCTTGCCGGGACACTTGGCCGGCAGCCGGCTGGGGTTGCCCAGCATCTTCCGGTAGAGGGCCGTCTCCGTGCTGCGCTGCGCCGCGTGCTTCTTCACCAGCTTGGACAGCTCCGCGTGGATCGTCTGTGGGAGGGGGCCGTGGGCACCACTGGGACCTGGGGCTTCCGTCTGCCCACTCTGTGCTTCACCAAAGGGGGACTGCTGTCCCCGTTGCCCAAAGGAATGGGGTAGACGGTGCAGAGCACGAGACAGCCACGGAGAGAAAGGCCAAGGACACAGGCCCTGGCCAGGACGGTGGTGCCCTCAGCCCCGGGAGGGCTGGCAGCATGAGTCCAGCCTGTCCATGTGGGGTGGGGTCACGGGGACTTAGCAAGCTGGCCAGGGGCCTTTAGCTGCCCATCCCCTGCCCACTGGGAACACCAGAGAGCCACATGAAGAAAAACTTACGGCAGACTGCAGGCAAGACTTCCCAGATAGCCCCACAAAGCAAGTCCTTGGGACACCCCTGTCCTGCTCACCTTGTTGGAAGGTTCTAGCTTCAGGGCTGCCCTCAGGATGGGGATGGCCTCACTGTACTCGCCTTGCTGAGCCAGCACCTGTGGGGAAAGGGGCCATGCCTGGGGACCACGGCAGGCTTGCTCTCCTTCAAGAGGCCCAGTCCTGCTAAGCTCCTGGCCCCCTGACCAGTCCCCACCGTCTCCAGCAGGAGCCCAGGTTCCAGGCCCCTCTGTCTGCGCCCACGCCCTTGGCTTCCGAGTGCTACAGCTGGCACAGCACTGTCCCGTCCAAACTGGCCCTTCTCCCGTGTGTCTGGCTCAGCCTGAGCTGGACGCCTGGGTGCCCCCTTCACTGCCTCCTTCCCTCATGGCCTCAAGGAACTTCCCATGCGGGAAGTTCAGGCCACAGTGAATGACTTGAGGCCAGGCATGTGACCCAAGGAGGTCAGTGAGATCCAGCCTGAATGGGGCAGTACCACTGGGAAGCCGGTTGCTAAGGAAAAGAATAAAATTCTGGAGCTTTGGGGAACTTTTTGGAGCTGGGGTGAGGGTGAGGGTTAAGGAGCCTGAGGGAAGTCCACAGCACAAAGGCACAGCATCTCCACATCACTGGGAATGCCTGGATTTCGCCGTGCCTGAAGCTAGCTACCCTGGACAGGAGAGTTTCATGAACCAACAATCTCTCCTTTTTGCTTGAACCTGTTCAAGTGGGTTTCTTCACTTTCAAACAGTAGATGCTACTGCCACCCCAAATTAGAAACCAGCTGACAACAGCCAGACATGGTGGCACAGGCCTATAATCCCAGCGACTCAGGAGGCTGAGGCAAGAAGACTGCAAGTTCGAGGCCAGCGCCAGCAACTTAGTGAGGCCCTAAGCAATTCAGCAAGACCAAGGCCAGCCTCAGCAAGTGCCCTGGATCCACTGCCTAGAGCGCAGATAGACAGGCAAGACACCTCCATGTGCTACCTATCAGAAGGTGACACAGCAAAAATGAAGAGATGACAGGGCAGGGAAGGAGGCAGGCGAGGAGGGCCTCCTGAAATGGTGACATCAGAGCAAAATCCTGAACAGGAGCTGGCGGTGCAGCTCAGGGTAGAGTGCTTGCCTGGCACGTGTGAGGCCCTGGGTTCTGCCCCCAGCACCACACACACCAAAAAAGAAAAACTAAACCTGAACCAGATCTAAGAGACCCAGGCAGGTCCTGGGGTACAGTGACCTGAGGCACAGGGCACAGCCTGGCCAAGGTCCTGGGGCAGAAGGGGCCTAGACGCAAGCAGGGAGGAGGCTGGGGGACGGAGAGGAGCAGGACAGCTCAAGAGCAGAGGAACTGGAGGAAGGGGACAACCAGATGACTCAGGGTCCCAAGGGCCATGACCAGAATTCAGCTTGTGCTCTGAAGGAGAAGGAGACAGAGCCTCGGAGGATGAAACACAAGGAAGAGCGGTCCTGGGACAGAAGCAAGGGGCCCGAGAAGCTGGAATTTAGGATTTAGGTCTAGCCTCAGCCAACCAGTCAGCGGGACCCAGGCGATACCCCTATACCTCTGTGGGCCTGTTTTCCACCTGCACCCCAGAAAGCTCAGTTGGCTGACACCTGTCTTTCTCGGTCACGGGGCTGGGGACTCGGCTGGGCGGCCCACCTTGCCCTTGCGGAAGAGCGCCTTGATGTTGTCGGGCTGGTGCTCGAGCACCAGGCTGCAGGAGCGCAGGGCGGCGCGGTAGTGGTCCAGCTTCAGCTGCGAGGCGGCCAGGTTGTTCAGACACTTCACCTTCAACTGCAGGAGCTGCTCCTCCTCCTCAAAAGTCATGTCCACTGTGGAGGACAGTGGTCACTGCACCACCAGCCCCCAGGACCCGTGCCTCTGAGGCGCGCCGGCTGCCATCCACCAGGGTCGGGGAGCTGGGTCCTCCCGTCTCTACGGGGCCAGGGCCACACCTTCCCCAGGCTCCAGTGTCTGGTTCTTGGCACCTCACGGAGGGAGTGTTGGAGGGGCACAGGGACTGATGCCACCTGCCACGGCCCATCGTTCACCCGCCTCCGCGAAATTCCCACTGGCCTCGGGTACATCAAGGCTGGAGGGGCCCCGTCTGGAGGGTTTAGGGTTCCGAGCCCAGGACCCCGGGGCTGGGGGCTTCTGAGCTGAGCTGGAGGAACACCTCTGTGGGGCGGTGGTGGGGATCTGACCCAGAGCCAGTCGGTCACCTTTGGCGCTGGACGTGATGGCCTTGATGGCAAGGTCGTAGGAGTTGGCGGCCAGCACGAAGTCCGCTCGCTGGTAGTGGGCGTTGCCACACTCCCGCTTCCGGTTGGCCAGGGCCACCCTCTCCTGCCCTGTCAGCATCTCCAGGTCAGGCCCATCCACGGCTGTCTTCAGGGTGACCTCCAGGCACAGGGCCGCGTGCGGGGGGATGTAGGGGCTCCTGCTGGGGAGGTGGGGCAGGCGGGTGCACTCAGACCCGGCAGCACTGGCCCTCGCCCCAGGCTCGCTGGGTTGACTCTGGGGCAGGAGGGAAGGGCCTCAAGTTCCAGCTGTGCCCATCGCCACCCCTCCTCAGTGAAATAGGGAAGTCACCCTGCCACCCCTGAGCTGCATGACTTGGCTAGCAGGTGTTCTTCCCTAAGTCTCAGTCGCCTATTCTATAAAGCGAGCAGGCAGACGGGGAGTGCCAGGGGACGCCCCACCAGCATCCCCCACTTGGCTGGGACCCATGTGGTGGCGCTCACCTGCCCTGGGGGCCGTAGCAGTACTTGGAGTCAGCAGTAACCATGGCCGTCTCGCCCACGTCCATGAGGGGGACACTGAGGTCCAGGGCCTGGGATGGACAGGGCCAGAGGGACTCAGGTACAGCCCAGCCTGGCAAGGTGCCCATCCTGCCCCCACCCACCTCCTCCCTCTCCAACCTGGATGACGTCGCAGTCGCCCAAGGTGAACACCAGCTCTGGCTCCTCCTGTACCCGTGTGCCATTCTCCAGCGACATCTGCAGCTGCACGGTGACCACCTGCCCCTTAGCAGGTCGGCTTGAGCCAGGTGGGCCTGGGACCAGTGTCTTCTTTCTCAACAGCCCATTCCCTGCCAGGAAGCAGGGACACGAACCTGTCATTGGGTGGCCCTATGTCCCCAAGCCCCCGCCAAGCTCTGCTGGCTGCAGAGGGTGCGAGCTAAACACGTGATGACCACCCTGCCACTGCCAAGCCGGCTGACCCAAGGAGGCTGGACAGTGGGCATGGCAGATCTGTTTTCTGGTGCTGGGGATGGAACCCAGGGCCTTGCCGGGCAAGTGCACTGCCACTGAGGCACTTCCCCAGCTCCAACAGGACAGATTTAGGGGCGACGATGCTGGTGCTGGGAACTGGCTCAGTGACCAACAGCTGTTCCAGACAGAGAGGTCCAGAAGAGATACTGGAGTAGGCCCCTCCTCGGGCTTCAAACCCCAGCCCTGGGATGTCTGGGCCTCAGTTTACCCAGCCATGAAATGAGGCAGTCACAGGGCCTCCCAGGGGCACCCAGCAAGCCCTTGCTTGGTTTGTAACCACTGCTGTGCTGCGAGTACGTCTCTACGGAAGCACGACGTGCACCAAGTTTAAATATTAAACAGAGTCAAAGGGCTTGTGAGCAAAAGTAGCTCCTGATGCCCCCGTGACTTCAGGAGACCACTGTCCACACTCTCAGCCACTCCGGCTGCTGTCTCTCCCATGCCCCAGGCCATCCCAGGAACCACCAAACAGCCAACGCCAATGCCAGCTGAGCAGGCACAAGGCTCAGCACCCCTGCAAAGGCACTTAGGAGCCTGCCACCCACTGTCACCCCACGGCAACTGCTGGGATGACTGCTTCCAGCACCCACGTTAGACAGCAGACAACAGAGCAGAGAGAGGGCAGGTGACCTGAGCTGGGCCTTCCTCAGAGCTCCCCCAGCTTTCCTCCAAACAGAGCCCCAGGGCAGCGAGGGCAAAGACTGCTGAGCAAGAGGGCAGCCAGGGTCTGTGGCCAGGGGCTCAGTTCCCACGCTGGCCTACACCCTGCCACATTCTGATGCTCTAGAATACTCTGCAAGTCTGAGTGGATTCTAGCCTAAAGATTAGAGACACTGATGAAGGCATCCTTATTCTGAAATATTCTAGAAAATTCTAAATGTCTGTGTTACACTCCTACTTGTACACACCTAGCATTCAGTCTGAGACCCAGTGATCCGACAGACCCCTGGGTCATAAGGTTTGTGGGCTCTGATGACGGACAGGCTGGAAGTCACAGTCACGGCCAGGCCCTGCCTCCTCTCCTAGGGTAGACTCCGGGCAAACCACATCCCCTCAAGGGCTGATTCTGTGTCTGGAAAATGAAAACCCCAATTCTCTCTTTTTTTTTTTTTCGGTTTTCTGAGATGCTGGGAATGAAACCCAGGGCTTCCCACAGCTAGGCAAGTGCTCTCCCAAGGTGCTGCACAGTCCCTGCCTGGAGGCCCCAACTCTGACCTCAGAAAGAGGCTGCACAAATACAGTGTCACACTAGTGCTCCAAGGGGGAGCTCACAGCTCTCACACTTAACACCCTTGGGAAACAACTTGCCCAACTCTACCACACCTAGGGAGGCTGGGTGACCTTGGGCAAGTGTCTTGGCCTCATGGAGCCCATTCTCCATTAACAGAGATGGAATCAGAAAGGGCTGCTGGAAGGATCCAGTGACATGCCACACGGGACTGGTGTGGAGCCAGCGCTCAGGAAGTATTACCTGGTGTTGGGGAGGGAGTAAATTCTTTCCCCCCTGTACTGGGGATTGAACCCAGAGTGCTTTACCACTCAGCCACACCCGCAGCCCACTGGTATTATCAACAGTGGTGATGATGGATCATTTATCATAAGAGCAATAATCACTCACTATGTCGGATATCAGGATTAGTGGCAACATATTTTCTACAGAATATTAACATTTCTCTTATTTTCAGAATTCTGAAATAGCACAAGGGAGAGGAGGAAGTGTGAGTGTCTTTCTTTGCAGGACTTCTTTGAACATTTAGAGTGATAATGAGGCCCCCTCCCCCAGGCCCCAAGTTCAGGAGGGGCTGGGCAGGAGCTCAGTGGTAGAGCACTTGCACATTCAAGGCCTTGGGTTCCATCTCCAGAACTGCAGCAAAAAATAAATAAATAAATAAAATCCTCCCCCAAATATAACAATAACTGCTAATGGTACTTCACAGATATAAAGCATTTAAGGACAGTAAGGAAGTCAGACAGGGTGGAACATTCCAAAGCCAGCCTTAGGCCCTTTTATTTTGTTTTGTCTCAAACAAAATAAAAGGGCTATGGGTACAGTTCAGTGGTACAGAGCTTGCCTAGCAGGTGTGAGGCCCTGGGTTCAATCCCCAGCACCAGGGGGAGAAAAAGAATAGTAATGAGTACAGTAAACCAGCCAGAGGGATGAACAGGACATTCTTCAGATCTATTTGACCTTAGGGGGCATTTTTCTGGGATTGGCACCAGTCAGACAATTGCCCAGAAAAGATGCAGTAGGGGTTGGGAGCCGCTGGCAATCAGCCCGATAGCTATGTGGCTCCGGGCAGGTGACTCAGCCTCTCTGGGCCGCTGCTAACAGTTCTGGGAAAAAGAGACACAGCACATGGTGTGTGTGTGTGTGTGTGTGTGTGTGTATGAGAGAGAGAGAGAGAGAGAGAGAGAGAGAGAGAGAGAGAGAGAGAGAGAGAATGAATGGAGTTCATGAACATGAAGCATCTCAAGCAGTTGTCACTGGCTGACAATCACCATAGTTACCAGGTTACTTTCAACCCTCACAGCAGAGATGAGAAACAAGGCTCAGGGGATGAGAAGGCCTGGTCCAAGGTCATTCTGCACCCTGGGCTGTGGCTCAACCCAAACCACCCCTGCTCCTTACCCAGGATGTCCAGCCACTCTTCTGGAGCCGGGGCTGGGGCAGGCTCTGGCTCCATGGCAGCCAGGAACTCTCGGGCCAGGGCCCCAGGCTGCTCAGCCTCCTCCAGAGTGGACTGTCCCATGTCCTCCAGAGGTGGCAGCTCACTCAGGTCATCATCATCCTCTTCCTCCTCTTCCTCCTCACCCTCTGCATCCTCAACTCCATCCAGCACCTCGAAGTCTTCAAGTGGTGGGACAGAAGGCGGTGGGGCAGTGGGCTCTGAGGGCTCCGCACAGGATGCCATACTGCTGGGGGGACGGGAACTGGCCCTGAGGAGGGTTACAGATGGGGATAAGAATCCCACCTAGCCTCTCAAATTATCCACACCACCCATTCCCTGCAAGCTGATCGCCTGCTGTGTGACTCAGGAATTGTGGCCCTCAGTTTCCTCATCTATATAGTGGGTATAACAACAAACCCAGACTTGTTGAAAGAAATTAACAACCCACTCATCAAGCCCTGAGCATCAGTGTTATCTATTATTAGAACGAATTATTATTTAATCTTTATAAACACCCCAGGAAGTAGGGAACTCCACCCCCAACTGCAGAAAAGGAAATTGAGGCCCAGTGGGGCATAGCCATTTGCCCAAAGTCCCAGAGCAAGCCAACTGCAGGGGCAGAATTGAAACATGGGGTTCCAATCCCTGGGGCTTTATCTGATTAAATGCCAATAAAGAGTCACTGGGTTTTTTACATTTGTTTGGTTTTTTGGCTGGGAACAGCCCCTGAGGCCTCGGGGGAAGCCATTTTTATAGCCTCTGAGCCACTTGTGAAGTTGAATCATTACCAGGGCTTTCTACTCCCAATTGTCCCATCTCCCAAAGAGATCCCCCTCCCCACAACCACCAGCACCAGCCCAAATCACCTAGAACCCTCATGCTCCCACACCCTGAAGCTAATGACCCCAGCCTCAATCTCCCCCTACCTGCCCTCCCGCCCGCCAAGGGAGACCTTTCTCTAGCCATCCAGCCTCCTTCCCAACCTCTCAAAGCAACCTTCGGAGTAGGAGAGACACCCCCCCCCCAGGCATTCCACAGCTTTTTCCTTGCCCCAGGCCTGTCTCCCTTGCCCAAGGCCTGTAGGGAGCCCCCACCTCTGGCTGTCCTATCACCAATCCGAGCTAGGCCCCCAGCTCAGGAGACCAAGCCATCACTCACCCACAGCATCCCCTCCTCTATAATCCTCACCTGCCAGGCTCCTTCCGGGATCCGAGCCACATTCTGAGACCCTCCCAGCGCCCACCCCCACAATCCCCTGCGCCCACACAAATGGGCCTCCCCCACCACCACCCCTAGTCAGGGCCAGCCCCCCCACAGCGGCGCTGTCGCCCCGTAAACACCCGGGTGTCCCCAGACGTCTGGCTCCCAATCCCATAACGCCCTACGCTCTCCGGACGCCCCCTACCTGGGTCTGGCCCTCCGTCAACCACCCACCCAAGCCCCCAACGCCCCAGGCCGGTCTGACGCCACTAATCTGGGGCCCCGACCCCGCACCCCTTGGGCGCCCCCAGCCCAGCACGTCCGCGTCTACAGCCGCCAGACCGGCTCTCCTCCGCGCCCCGCGGCCCCTACCCCCGGCCGCCAGCGCCTGGCTGCGCCCCCTAGGACACTGCCGACCCCCGCGCCCCCAGCTCGCCTCCCGCACGGCCCTTCGCCCCGCCCATCGGCTACGGCCCCCGCCGCGCCGGCCTCCGGACCAGCCCAGGCCAGGGCAGCGCCCAGGGCCGGCGCAACCCCGCCGGCGCCCCGGGACACGTGCCTCCGGCTCCGGGACCCCCACCTGGGGTCCTGCGCCCCCCTCCCCGCCCCCAGCCGCTGCCGCCGCGCCTCGGGAACCAGGTTCGGGCGCCCAGCCCCGCCTCCGCCGCGACCATTGGCCGCCGCCGCCGCGACGGCCGCGTCTACTGGTTCTCACACACGTCCGTCCCGGGAGCAGGCTCCGCCTCCTTCCTGCTTTGCTCCGCGGGACGTTCTTAAAGGGGCAGAAGCTTCTGGGCCTTTTGGGGCGGGGGCGAGTGGGCCAAGGGTTGGAATCCTAAGGCCCGTGATTACCGCGCAGCCCAGTGCTGTGCCTGGCTCCCATCAGAATTTCACCCTGCGCATCTGTAAAATGGGGATAAACACCCTTCTCCATGCATTCTTACCTTGGCGGCTGTTGGGAAAACACTACTAAATGTTTCCTGAAGTAGACAGCTTGGGGGTCCAGGCACCTATGAGACTACCGGATGACACCCCGAAGCCCTAGTTACAGAAGTGGACCTAAGGCCCGAGAGGGGAAGCACGTGCCCAAGGGCACGCAGAACACCCCCCACCTATCACGTTCTGCTTCCCGAAGGTTTCCTGGTGCATACAGGAGGCACTCAATAACAGCCAGGTGGGCGACAGAGCCAGCAAGACCACTAGAAGTTCTTCCTCCATGCACCTCTGCCAGAGGGTGAGAAGGTGTGCACTATCGATTAGAAAGGTTTCTGTGGATCCCCTTATTTTGAAACAGGGCACTATACCTTACCAGCTCTTGTTTAATTTGCTCCCAGCAGGTAATCCTGCTAGAATGGTGTCCTCCTTTGGCTTTGTCCTTCACCCCACCCACCCACCTCACTCTCCCATATCCCGACAGGGATTTTCACCAGTTTTGTGCCCAGCACCTCCTTGAACAATGCCTGACTACCCATGGGAGCTCAATAAATGAAAAAATAAATGGATGAGTCAGAGGCTGGGTTTTGGAGGTGGCTCTCACTGGAGGCAGTAACTGATTTTTGAAGATCAGAGCTCTGAGGTTGCCGCCTGTAGGAAGTCCTCCCTGACCTCCTCAAGGCAAAGCCTGGTAACCCGCCCTCTCCCCTCCCCAGCTGTCCTCCGGGCTTTGTGAAGCTCTACTTCATAACTGGCTTACTTGTGTGAGTGTCATTTGATTCACCTCTGCCATGCCCAAAACACTGGACACCACCGCCAGCAGCCGGGGAAGCTCTGTTGTTTCTCATTGTTGTAGTCCTGACACCTGCTCAGTGTTTGACAGAAAAGCCAGAGTGGGGGCCAGTGGTTGCTCAGAAATCACAGCACAAGGCAGCCAGGATATGAGAAGTCCCCAGTCAGGGGTCAGGCTTAGTTCTGAGGAACTTGGATTATTTACCATCATCTATAAACTTCAGTGTTGTTGTTTTTAATTTTTTTTAAGTTGTCAATGAACCTTCATTTTATTTATTTATATGCAGTGCTGAGAATTGAATCCAGGGCCTCACACATGCTAGGCAAGTGCTCTACCACTGAGCCCTGAGCCGTACAACCCCAACCCCTAATCCTTTCTTTCTTTTTTCTTTTTCTTTTTCTTTCTTTCTTTCTTTTTTTTTTTTTTTTTTTTTTTTTTGGTGCTGGGGATTGAACCCAGGGCCTTGTGCATGTAAGGCAAGCACTCTACCAACTGAACCACACCCCTAGCCCCCCGATCCTTTCTTATGAGATGAATATTCTGATATTTGGAAGTCACAGGACTAACTGCCTACACAGTTGCAATGGTCATGTCCTCCCAATGAACTTTCATTTCCATGACATTCCCCTCTTTATCTCTGTTTCTGGCCTTAGAGCGGACTTTGACTAATAGGATTACACTCATTCTCCTTTGATCATGTTTTCAATGTTCCATGCTCTTCACCATGTTGCCTTCCATTTTTCTGTATTCTTATACATATGTCTCTTGGAAGCAATATAGACTCCAGTTTTTTCGATTATTTATTTATTTATTTATTTAGCTACGGGGGATTGAATCTAGGTGCACTTTAACTTTACCACTGAGATACATCCTCAGTCTTTTTTATTTTATTATTATTTTTTAAATTTTGAGACAGGGTTTCTCTATGTTGACCAGAATGGTCTCAAACTTGTTACTCTTCTGCCTCAGCCTCCCAAATAGCTGGAATTATAAGTATGCACCACCATGTCCAGCTGAATTTTGCTTTTTGATCTATTCTTCCCATCTTTGTCTTTTAGCTGGGTTGTTTGGCCTATTTATATTTAATGTAATTATTAACATTTTGGGACATAAATATGCCTTGTTATGTTTTTATTTCTGTCCCACCTGCTGTATGTTCCTTTTTTCTTCCATTTTTACCTTCCTTAAGATTGGATGGGTATATTTGGTAAGACCACTGTCATTCTTTTATTTTTAAATTTTTGAGACACCGTCCCACTATATTGCTCAGGCTTGTCTTGAACCTGTGGGCTCAAGTGATCTCCCCACCTCAGCCACTTGAACAAGCAAGCCTGTGCCACATCACCTTATACATGAGGAAATCTTCATCTTACAGATAAGGAAACTGAAGCCCAGAGAGGTTGACTACTTTGTTCAAGGTCACAGTGGTGAAAGGCAGGATGGAGCAGGTCCCTTCCCCCACTGGGTTTCTCTTCCAGCAGGGGATCTGGATATTGCATAAACAATGATGCAGATAAGCATTTAATTGCAGCTGTGATCACTTCTATGTAGGAAATGAAACTGAAAAAAATTGCAAAGAAAAATTTCTAATCCTGAAATTCGGGCCTCCTCTGGCCCCAAAGTCCGTGTCACTGGACCGGCTGAGCGTCCCATTTTTTCCCTTGAACACAACATTTTTTTTTTTTTTTTGAGAGAGAGAGAATTTTAATATTTATTTTTTAGTTTTCGGCAAACTCAACATCTTTGTCTGTATGTGGTGCTGAGGATCGAACCCGGGCCGCACGCATGCCAGGCGAGCGCGCTACCGCTTGAGCCACATCCCCAGCCCCGAACACAACATTTTCTTGTCTCTAGTCCACTACGTAAAAAACATTTTGGGCTATTCAACTCCCCTTTGGTCTTGATGTGCAGCCCCCTACTCCTTCCACTTCACCACCCAGCAGCACCCAAGGGACCCACTGAAAAGCTTGGTTTCTTCAGTCTGGGCCTTGTCTCCTGCAAGGGACAAGGTGCATCAGGATTCTGCTTTTTCCAGCCCCCCCCAGGCTTCCCCCTCTCAGCACTGGCTGCTGCCTGGCTCACTGACATCCCGGAGGAGTCTTCTGAGGATCATGTCCACACTGTGCACTTTCCCATCAATTTGCCCTTACTCCTGTGATTCTTTGTCCTGAATGATTATCTGTACCTAGCAAACTCCTAACCTTCCCTCAAAACCCCAATGCAGATGTACTGCTTCCTGGCAACCTTCTCTGCCTCCAGAATGAGCCCTCTCACCCTACCTCTCAGATTCCTCCAGGTTGGACATCCTTCCCACCTTCCAATCACCAGTGCCCACGGACTGGGAGTGTCTGTTCCTAACTTCACCTCTATTCCTACTCCAAGGCCAGGGACAGGGTACTCTGGATCCCCAGAATCTGAGCAACACCCAGAATGGAGGGGAACAAATTGAAGCCAGGGGTGCCTTACCACTAAGCTACCTCTCCAGCTCCCCCCGCTTTTTGAGACAGGGTCTCACTACTTTGCCGAGACTGGCCTCAAACTTCTGATCCTTCTGCCTCAGTCTCCCAGTCGCTGGGATTTCAGGCACATAGCACTGTACCTGAATAGAGTAAAAAAAATAAAATGTTTAATTGTCAAACATAAGAATCCTGGTTGGCATTGTTTGTTTTTCTTCTTCCTCCTCTTCATCTTTTGGTACAGGGCATTGTACCCAGGGGCACTCTACCACTGAGTTATACCCAATCTTTTTATTTTGTGGCAGGGTCTCCCTGAGTCTCCCAGGCTGATCTGGACCTTGTGATCCTCCTGTTTCAGCCTCCTGAGTCACCGGGATTAGAGGCTTGTGCCACCATGACTGGCCAATCATTGACTTTTCAATGAATGAATGTGGCAAAACGTGGGAACATTACCTACAGTTTACTGAGGGCTTATCTCGTGGCTTAACCTTGTTGTAAGGATTTCACTGCATGATTCATAAGGTGAAGCCACTTGTTCAAGGCCATGCACCTAGGATGTGATAGACCTGGAATTAGAATGCAGATAAGTCTAATTCCAGGACTTTTAAACAGTCTTTCATGTGCCTGAGAACATTTTTTTGTTGTTGTTGTTGTTGTTTTTTCAGTACTGTTCAGTACTGGGAATTCAACTGAGGGGCGTTATGCCACTGAGCTACATCTCCAGGCCTTTTAATTTTTTTTTTATTCTTTGATGGACCTTTTATTGACTTATATGTGGTGGTGCTATGAATTGAATTCAGTGCTCATGCACGCTAGGCAAGCGCTCCACCACTGAGCCACAACCCGAGCCCAGGCCTTTTTATTTTGGAGACAAGTTCTCACTAAATTGCCCAAGGTATCCTTGAACTTGGGATCCTCCTGCCTCAGTCTTCCGAAAACCTGGGGTTATAGGTGTGCACCACCATGTCCAGCTACAGTAGCTTTTATTCTCTACAGTTGGCCCTCCACATCTGGTGGTTCTGCATCCATGGATTCAAGCAACCTTGGAATAAAAATATTATTTCTTTGCAGAGGGCAGGGGTACTTCTGGGGATCCAGCCCAGTTGCACTCTACCACTGAGCTACATTCCCAGTCATATTTATTTATTAATTTATTTTTGAGACAAGGTCTTGCTAAATTGTCCAGGCTGACCTTGAATTTGGGATACTCCTACCACAGCCTTCTGAGTCACTGAGATTACAGGCATGATCAGGAGGCTGAAACAGGAGGATCTACAAGGTCTGGACCAGCCTGGGAGACTTAGGGAGACCCCACCACTGTGCCCAGCTGGAACAAAAATATTCTAGAAGAAACTGCATCTGTACTAAACATGTGCAGACTCTTTTGTTATTATTCCCTAAATCACAACAGCTATAAGTACACAGCACTTACAATGTATTAGGATTCTAAATCATCTAGATATTGTATAAACTCTGCAGGAGGATTGCAAGGTTCTATGCAAAACTCTCCCATTTTCTATAAAGGACTTGAGGATCCTAGGATTTTGGTATTCATGGTCCTAAAACCAATCCCTCACAGATATTGAGGGATGAATTATACATTCAGATACAAAAGTAAATATGTGTGTGTATTGGTTAGTAGATATTCATGTACATTTTCTAGCTCTGACTGCTAGTAGGGTCTAGAGGTATTGACAATACAATACAATTGCAATGAGCACACCAAGCACCTAGATCTTTGTTTCTAAATACCCGCTTCAAGCAAAGAAACCAAGCTCCTTGGAGAAAGGGTTGATTCTAGGGTTGTTTTCACTGCATGGAATATTTTGTGGTACCCATAGTAAAGAAGCACTCATAAACGATATAGACTTATTTTTTGTACCAGGGATTGAACCCAGGGGGGCTTAACCACTGAGCCACATCCCCAGCCATTTTTTTAAATATATATTTTATTTAGAGACAGGGTCTCGATAAGTTGCTGAGGTTGGTTTTGAACTCGTGATCCTCCTATCTCTGCCTCCTGAGCTGCTGGGATTACAGGAATGTGTCACAACCCCCAGCTGATGGGGATGTATTAAAAGAACACAGGAAAGAACTTAAAGGGGCAGCAAAATAAACAATACTTGATTAATGGTAATCCACAAAATAAAGTACCTGTAAATTCAGTCATATTAATACTTGAATAAATCCATAATCAGAGAAGAATAGACAGCTTCGCTTACGGAATTCCAATTCGTAATCAAGTTAATAAATAGAAAACCACTATGAGGCAAACACTACCACAAGTAAATGTTGCCAGCAAGAACCACAGATGGATGTTAAAATTAGTAGATAGGAAAAAAAAAAAAAGACAAAAAGCCTTCCAAAACAACAAAAATAAAACCCACAGGGCATTTGCATGATCTCGTTTATTCTCCTCATTTTCCTTTCCTTTCCTCCCCCCCCCTCCTCCCCTCCCTCTCCTCCCTCTCCTCCTGGCAAGATACTAATTGCAAAGGAGAAATCAGCAACTTTACAGAAGAGAAAGTGGCAGACACTGTCTCAAGCAAATAATCAAGTCCAATATCACCAGCAATGAAACACATCCACACTCTGCTCCTCCAAAATACAGTCTGTCCAATCACGAGGAAATATCGGACAAACACAGAGATGGACGTTCTCCGAAACCAGTCCTCTTCAGAAATAATACGGTGAGGAAAAACAAGGAAAGACTGAGGACTGTCACATATTAGGGGAGACTAAGAAGACGTGACTGGATTCAACGCAGAACTGGTCTGGAACTCCGGACCAGTCACCAAAAGCGGAGCAGAGATTTATGAACCCGGATGAGGCCGATTTCCAGGCTTGGGAAGCAGAACACCTGGGTCTGATTCGGCTACAGCTCACTTAAGACCTTGGGGGTACTTTCTACAGCTCTTGGGCCTCAGCCTTGCCATCTATATAATGGGATGTCTCTCTCAGCTTTCCCCTTTTGGGGTTGCTTTCGATCTCAGACTTTGAACAACTGAGCAGGCGCGACAGGAACTGCTTGATTGGCTATTCACTGTGACGCACGTGCGAACAGAAATTACGTATCAGCCCCGCCACTTCCTGCCGCGCCTCCACGCACGCATGTCGGTCCCAGAATACGGCGCCGCCACGCGCGCTCGCACGCACGGTGCGTGGTGACGTCGAGGCGGCGAGGGCGCCATCCCGGAAGCGCGAGCAAGGCTGCCAGATGTGCAGGTGCCGCCGCCACCGACGCCGGGGCTGAGTTTGGGGTGGGGGCTGGGGACACCGGGGCCGCGGGGGAGCCGGGCCGGGTCGGGCGCAGCACCCAGGCTGCCGTGGGGTGGGGCGCGCCGCTGGCCACATCTGGGCACTCCTGCTGCGCACAGGCCTCAGTTTCTCCAGCTGCGCAGTGGATGCGCGGGGCAGTGCCACGGGCCGGAGCTGGATTCGGAACCCGGGCGCGGGAGTTAGGGCCTGCGCCCACATTGTGCGGTGTCATCCGGAGCCGCGCGTTGCTCTGCTCGTACCTCCAGTGTCCCCAGTTTGCCGGGGGCGGGGAGTGAGTGCAGAGTGGAGCCCCGCCCCACTTGGGGTAATTTTGTGAGCTTGGGAGGCGAGTTAAAAAGTTTGGGTTGGAACCGCGGCGTGTCTCTGCTGAGCTTGTGACCTTGGGCCACTGAGTCCGCCCCTGTGAGCGTAAGCTTCCCTCCGAGAGGATAGTATCTGCCTCATAGTGGTGATTTAGAAAAATTCATTGAAGTGTTTTATCTTATGAAGAATTAAATATAAGTGATCGCTCCTGTGGAAGCACCTGGGAGGCTCTTGTTAAACTGATGATTCCCGGGACTTCACATTCCAGCTGGAGGAAATAGCCTGCTCAGAGATCTGGTTTTTTCTCTTTTTTTTTTCCCCCTTGCTTTTTGTTTTGTTTTGTTTAAAGAAATGGGGTCTCCTTGTTGCCCAGGCTGGCCCCGAACTCCTGCGCTCAAGCAGTCCTCCAGTCTCAGCCTCCGGAGTAACAGCCACTACAGGTGTGCGCATTGGCGACCTGCTGGAGCTCTCTTTTTATCGCACTGAGAGATCTTGAGTCTATTCTCATTTTCTGAGACTCAGGTGAAACAACACAGCCTCCTCCTGGGCGTGGCGGCTCCATCATCCCATAATGTATTTGGAGCAGAGCAGATCCCTTGCTGGATCCATTCTGCTGTGTAGTAGCGGTCGGGGAAGGTTTCCTGAGGCGGCTGTGGGTGAGGGGGAGGTTGCCGCAAACCCCTCACTCTCACTTCTGGGAGCCAGAAAGACAGGGGGGATAAAAACGCTGAATTTCTTTCTTTGTGTTACTGGGGATTGAACCACCGGGGCCGTTCTACCCTTGAATTACATCCCCAGCGCTCTTTATTTTGAGAGCGGTTTAAGTTACCCAGGCTGGCCTGGAACTTTCTATCCTCCTGCCTCAGCCTCCCAAGTATGTGGGATCGCAGGCATGTGCTGTGGCGCTCAGTTAGAGCCCCGCTTTGAAGCAGAACCATCTCTCTAAAAGCCCAGTGAACAGTTAGGAGGAAGCTTACACCTGATGTGGCAGCTTATTATTATTATTATTTTTAAAATTTATTTATTTTGCAGTATTGAGGAATGGAACCCAGGGCCTTGGACATATTAGGCAAGCATCCTACCACTGAGCTGTATTTCCAGCCCCAGCAGCTTATTTCTAGAAGAAAAGCAGGGGCTGCAAACTGCTAGCCAGATTCAAAGCACAAATAAATATTCTTGGCCTCCATGATGTTTTTTTTTTGTTTTTTTTGTTTTTTTCTTTTGAAAAAAGTATTTGTTGCTAACATTTGGAATTGAGGAAATTTCACAGAGGAAAAAAGAAGACCCTATTAACATTTTTTCCCATAAAAATATCTGAAGTCAGGCCAAAATCAGCTGCTGCTTTAAGAGGCAGCCTTCTGGGCTGGGATTGTGGATTGGCAGTGAAGTCTTGCCTAGCACATGTGAGGTACCGTGTTGGATTCCCAGAACCACATAAAAACAAAGTAATTTCTTTTTTTTTCCTTTCTTTCTTTTTTTTTTTTTTTTTAAGAGGCAGCCTTTTTGTAGCAGGTGGATACTGACCTCCTGTTCAGATTCCCACCTTTGTGGAACCTGCAGACTGTGCATTGAGCTAGGGCTCAGGTTCACTGGCTGTGTGACCATGGCCCAGTTCCTCAGTCTCTCTGAGCCTCAGTTTTCTCATCTGTAAATAAAGATGATAATAGTTCCAAGTATTTGAGCTTGGTGCCTTAGGATATAGTAACTGCTCAGTAAATTGGAAGGTAGCCAGACATGGTGGCTTAGCCTGTGATCCCAGTGACTCTGGAGGCTGAGACGGGAGGATCACAAGTTTGAGGTCAACCTGGGCAATTTAGTGAGATCCTGTTTCAAAATAAAAAGCTGAGCTGTAGCTCAGTGGTAGAGGATTTCTCTACCATGTGTAAGGACCTATATTCAGTCTCAGGCACCACAATAAATAATGAAACGGGAAGAGAGATTAAATGGATTCAAACATTTTGCTGATCCTGTGTAAATTTTTTTCCCCTTTTTTGAGATTCTGGGGCTAGAGCCTAGAGCCTTCTGTGTGCTAGGCAAGCACTCTACCATTGAGCCATACCCACAGCTCCTATGTGTGACAATTAACCAATCAGAAGTAAACCTTCTATTGTTCTTTATTATTATTTTATCAATTGGTACTGAGGATTGAACTCAGGGGCACTACAGCTGAGCTACACCCATAGAACATAGAACTCCCAGACTGAGGGTGGTCAGAAGCAGATACTGGCCCTTCTGGCCCCATGGAGTCAGGGCCAGAGGAAATTTTTTTTTTCCTCCAGTGGACACAACATCTTTATTTTATTTGTATATGGTGCTGAGGATCGAACCCAGCGCCCCACGCATGCCAGGCGAACACGCTACCACTTGAGCCACATCCCTAGCCCAGGAACATATTTTTTGAGAAAGGGTTTCACCAAGTTCCCAAAGCTTGTCTTGAACTTGGGATCCTCCTGCCTCAGCCTCCACAGTAATGGCTGTTGGTCTTCAAATGTGTGGTCCAAAAAGTCAAGCTATCTCAAGGTTCTAGATTTTTCCCAAGTCCCTCAGAAGGGTCAGTTCTGTGTCCCCCTCCTACATGGCCTGGAAAGCCCCCTCCCTCTGGGTAGGGAAGGTCCTCGAACGCCAGGCAATCTGGGAGCTGCAGAGCCATCTGGGTTGCTGTGGCTACTGCCGGGCTGTGAATGCCTGAAATTCTTGGCTTTCATTTGCTCATAAAAGTCTAGTGTCAGAGCTGAGTTTCCAAAATTCTGTTTGCCTGTCCAAAACAAAGCTCTGACACTCCCTTGCCAGGTTCTGGGCCTGGGTGACACAGACAGCTCTCTCTTGGAGCTAACATTGGATAGAGGGAGCCGTAGGCAAATGGGTCAACTGGGAACTCGGGTAATTTCAGAAAGGATAATTTCACTGAAGCAGTGAAATATAAGAGTGACCCAAGCTGGGTGTGGTAGCACAACTAATCCCAGTGACCTGGGAGGCTGAGGCAGGAGGATTGCAAAATTGAGGACAGGCTGGGCAACTTAGTAAGGTCTGTTTCAAAATCAAAACAGGGGTGTAGCTCAGTGGCAGAGCACTTGCCTGGCGTGTGCAAGGCCCTGGGTTCCATCTCTGATACTGCAAGAAGAAAACCAGAAAAGAGTGACTCAAGTGGGGTTGTCAGCAAAGACCTCTCGGAAAAGAGACACTGGAGGTGGTGATGTGACAGGCAGCCAAGGTGTTCTGCTAGTGGGGGCAGGAAGGAGACTGGCAGATCCAAAAAGGGCTGGGCCTTGGACAAATGAACAGCAGGCGCCCTGAAAGTTGGGGAGTGGGGGATTCCAAGGTGCTGTGTGCTGTTCACAAATAGGACCCCTTTTGGTTCCCAAGACTCCAAGTTCTGGGATAATAACCCTGAGGCTCAGTTGGCATGGCTGAGTCACAACGCTCATCCCGACTCGGGGGCAATGGTTGAGTCAGAACCCAACCCATGAGGTTCCCAGTCCCACCTAAGGGTCCACGCCCCTGGTGCCTGGCATAGACCACAGATTGTGGTTTCCTACCTGTGCCAGGCCGTGGAGGAGGAGGRAGAGATGGACCCCCCGGACTCGGCCTCGAGGGTCTTCTGCAGCAGAATCCTGAGCATGGTGAACACGGATGACGTCAATGCCATCATCCTGGCCCAGAAGAACATGTGAGTGTTGGCCGCAGGGCCCCAGGCGGGGAAGGAATGAACTCCTGGCCAGTCCCCACTCCAGGCCTACACTGGTGATAAAATGAAGGAAATGAGCAAATCTGCCTGCTGGGTCCAGAGTCAGTCCCTCTGTGACCTGGAGGCGAGGCCTTGGCACAGGAAGCAGGACTTTCAGAAGGTCTTGCAGCTGTGACTGGCTTGGCAGGGGTTGGAGAACTGGAGGGATTTTTTTTTTCCTTTTAGTAACTGGGGATTGAACCCAGGGACACTCTATCACTGAGCTATATCCCCAACCCTTTTATTTATTTTTTTTTAAGATAGGGTTTCATTAAATTGGTTAGTCTTGCTAAGTTGCTGAGGCTGGCCTTGAGCTTGCAATCCTCCTACCTAGGCCTGGTATTTCAGGCATGTGCCACGGAACTGGCTGTGGCTTCTTTTGGACCTTAACCCAAAGGCTTTCCCACACTGCATTGATGACCCAGCACAGACCTCATTTCCTGCCATTTCTCACTCTGTGCCTGGTCTCGTGGGTGAAGAATCCCAGCAACACCCGTCTCGCTTCTAGTTCTTGAGGGCAAATTCACACCTGACCTTTGGGAACTCCCGGACTGGGGGTGGTCAGAAGCAGATATGGAGTCAGGGCCAGAGGAACAACTTGGGGCTGCTGGAGTCTAAGGGGAGTGGGGGGTCTGCTTAAGGGAGAGATGAGAAAGTCTTAGCTTTCCGTCACTGTGACAAAATACCTGAGATAAACAACTCAGAGGAGGAAGGTTTATTTCTGATCACGTTTCAGTGCATGGGTCCCTGGCCTATGGCGGCACAGCATATCATTGTGGAAAAGCACAGGAGAGTAGGCCTTGACTTCATTGTGGCCAAGTAGCAAAAAGATGACAGGAAGGTGCCAGGGTCCTGAAAGCCCCTCTGAGGGCATTCCCCCGTGACCCGACTTCCTTCACGAGGCTCTGCCTTCTAAACATTCCATCACTTCCAGCAGCACCACAGTCTGGTGATCAGGCCTTTAGCACATGCCCTTTCAGGGACATTTAGGATCCAAACCCTAACAGAAGGGTACACTTCAGTAGGATTTTGAAGGTTGAACAGCAGTTTTAACTGGGCAGGCCAAAGAAACAGCACATGCCCTGGTCGTGAAGCAAGTAAGGCCTTAGCATGGTCAGGCAGCAAGGGCCCTGGAGGCGGGGCAAAGAGCTTGTGCCCTTTCTCTGCATCAGGCTGGACCGTTTTGAGAAGACCAATGAGATGCTGCTGAATTTCAACAACCTGTCCAGCGCCCGCCTGCAGCAGATGAGCGAGCGCTTCCTGCACCACACAAGGACGCTGGTGGAAATGAAGCGGGACCTGGACAGCATCTTCCGCAGGATCAGGTGTGTGCTTGACCCCTCTGTGGAATGCGCCTATTCGAACCCAGGAACTGGGAGGTTCTGCTGTTTTAATTGTTGTTGCTGTTTGGTACTGGACACTGAACCCGGGTGTTCTCCTACTGCGCTCTACACCCAGCCCTTTTTGAGACAGGGCTTCACTAAGTTGCTGAGGTTGACCTCAGCCTCCTGAGTCACTGGGATTACAGGCATGAGCCACTGGGCCCAGCCCCAGCCCTTTTTGTTTTGTTTGGGTTCCAAGGATTGAACCCAGAGGCACTCAACCACTGAGCCACATCCCAGCCCTTTTTATTTAGAGACAGGGTCTCACTGAGTTGCTTAGTGCCTTGCTTTTGTTGAGGCTGGCTTTGAATTCACAATCCTTCTGCCTCAGGTTCCTGAGCCGCTGGGATTACAGGCATGCACCTGCCAGCCCCAGCCCTTTTTAATCTTGTTATAATTTATAACAGCACATGTTTTCTGGGGCTTCATATCAGGTTTACTGCCCAGATGGTTTGGGGTAGGGGGAGCAGGGATCTTGAGGGTTGATAACCATGGCTATGTGTCCCCGTCACCCAAGAAGGAGAAGAGGGGTTGCCACCTGGCCTGGAACCATCAACAGTAGTGGTACTTATAAGGCCACAAAGATAAAACCACCTGCTTTGAAAACTTCCTTTCCATTCTCTGCAAACACAGCTGTGGTACTTTAGGAAAAAGAAGAACCAGCTAGGGGCTCAGTTGGTAGAGGGCTTGCCTCACATGCACAAGGCCCTGGGTTCAATCTCCATCCCCAAAACAAACTCACCCACCAAACCAGCAGTTAAAAAAAAAAAAAAAGAAAATTCTCTAAGCTTCATTTTGTCCAAAGGCAGAGGAGGCTAACATAAGGGGGCACTGCAGGGAGAGGGCCCCTCTGCCTGGGCTCAGGGACCAGACCCCAGGGTGCACGTCTGCCCAGGTGTTCCCAGGCGTGTTGGGCTGAGCGTGGGGCAGAGAGAGGGAGGCTTGGTGAATGGTGAGGGCCAGGCTCCTGCTGCCCACCCAGCAAGGGCTCCCTAGCCAGTGCCAAGCCCAGCCCATCTGATCAGCAGGTTCAGCCCCTGTGCCTTCCCTTCCCTGCAGGACCCTGAAGGGGAAACTGGCCAGGCAGCACCCGGAGGCCTTCAGCCGTAAGTGTCACCCAGGCTAGTGAGCCCGAGCATGCCAGCTTCCTCCACTCAGAGCTGGCTTCCCGAAGGTCACCTTGGGCTGACATGCAGCCCAGGCCCTGGTGGGTGGAGGTCCAGAGAGATGGGGGTGGGGGGCAAGGGCAGGGTGCTGGTGGGATGCAGTCTCCTTGTCCTGGGGTGTACCCATGTAGTACCATGAGCCAAACTCCGCCCACAACCACCTGTGACGGGGGACTATAAACATCCTGATTTCAGAGGGGGAAACTGAGAAGCACGATTGTGGGAGGAAGTGCAGCTGAAAAGGGAGGGGGAAGGAATCAAGTTCACATCTGTCTAGTGACAGCCCTAGTGGCTCTGGGCCACCATTCTGTGTCACCAGCACCTCAGAGGGTTCCCTGTTGCTGAGCCTTGGTTTACCCCATCTGCTTAATGGGCCAGTAGCTAGCTCTTCATCCCAAAGCTGCCGACTACCATGGACATAAATTCCGAGTTTACAGAGCAGGGTGGACAGGAGGGGTGCCTGGGCCAGGTGATGTAGTGGGGGTGAGGAAGGACAGAGCCAGCTCACCCAGCCTAACCTAGGAGGCTGAGGCAGCATCCCGACATCACTTCGTGTGGGAGGGATTCCTCTTACCTGCTGGGCCTTGGTTTCTTCCTCTTCCTCAGTAAAATGGGCTAAGTCATGTACCCACAGGGCAGGGAACCTGTCAGGTCACACACACAAAGTCTCCCATCTGAGTGTTTGACAAGGCAGCAGAGCAACTCCTGGGCCTCCTTCCTCAGACATCCCAGAAGCTTCCCTCCTGGAGGATGAAGACGAGGACCCCATCCCGCCCAGTGTCACCACCACCATTGCCACCTCGGAGCAGAGCACAGGCTCATGTGACACCAGCCCTGATACTGTCTCGCCCTCCCTCAGCCCTGGCTTCGAAGACCTGTCCCACATGCGGCCTGGCTCTCCCACTGTCAACGGCCACAGCCAGACGGATGATGAGGGGAGGCCAGGAGAGTAGCCCTGCTCCAGGCACCCAGAGGTCTTGGGCAGCAGTAGCCATCCCCAGGTGTCTGAGGTGGCAGTGGGTAACCCTGCCTCACCATCTTCACCTTTGCCACCCTGTTCTGTCATCCAGGGCTCCCTCCTGGGGCTGTGGAATTCCTGGGGTCTCTAATTTCCTGCTCCTTCTCCTGGGAACATAACCTCATGCCAGGGCGCAGCCATCCCAGCTGGAGTGGTGGGGCTGGGCACAAGGGATGTTTTCAGAGCCAGGCCTCAGGTCTGCTCTGAACAACAGTTAAGAGGTGACCTATCCCCTGGCTAGGACCTCCTGGAGGTGGACAAGATCGTCACATCATCCTCTCACCCTGCACCCACTAATTCTGGTTCCCCTGCCCCTTCCTCGGACTGAAGTACTGAGTACTTTCTCCAGTTAGTGTCTCCAGGAGGTTTCTGACACAGAGAAGGAAGTTAGAGATGGAGGCTGGATGGCCACTCAGCCCTGGGCCTGTGAGGCCTGTGTTTGAATAGAGGTGTGGACCTCAGAGGCCCCGTAGGCATCTCCTGGGTTTCCTGGAGCAAGCAACACCACCTTGGAAAACAGTTTAGTGGAATATTTTTGTACCCGATGTTTACAGATGCTGTTGGGAAGTTATCAATAAAAAGACTGTTGCTAAAAAGGGAAGAGCACATCTCCCTGGCTTCTTTCCCTCCTTGGGTCTAGCAGCTGAGAAAGTGGACACATGCTGGATGGAGGACATGGAGTCCTTTTGTCAGGGTCTGCAGATAAGCACACACCACTGACCTGGAAAGAGATGGGACTGACCACCAGGCTGCATGGCTGAGCCTGCAATCCCAGCAACTTGGAAGGCTGAGGCAAGAGGATCGCAGGTTCCAGGCCAGCCTCAGCAACTTAGTAGGATTTGTCTTAAAAAAAAAAAGGGAGGGGGGGCTGTAGCTGGCGGCAGAGCTCTCCTGGGTTAAATCCTAGTAACACACACACAAAGAAAGATGGGGCTGTTCTTCGTGGAGGTCCCTGTGGTGGCAGTCCTAACAACCCAGGTTCGCACTTCCCAGGTCGTCACACCTTCTGTTGGCACTGCTACCAACGCTTCCCTTACCCCCTTGAACAACACCTCTAGATTGCAGTGTGTGTGCGTGGGGGGGGGGCTCAGGCAGCCAGATTGGACCCCATTCCCCATTAGACTCTCCCAAAGTCGCCTCACCTTCGGAACTCTTAGTTAGAATTTATGTTAAAGGAATCTGCTAGGTGCGGTAGAGGCTGAGGCAGGAGGATGGCTTGAGTCCACGAGTTTGAGATCAATCTGGACAGCAAACAGCAACACATTGTCCCCAAGAAAAGGCACCTTCCTAGGTATGAAAGCTTCTCTGCCTCTGCGTGACACGCAGTAGACACTAGAAATGTTCCCAGGAATAACGAAGCACGTTGACAAACTCGCATGTAACTTCTCAGTCCTCCCTTTTCCCTGGTCCGGTGCCATCCACAAGTTTCAGTCCCAGTCCAGAACACGCCAGGTCCCACCGGGCACTTTTCGCCAGACCGTACTACCTTTTCCTGGAGAAGGCACTAGTCTCACCGACTTTCCCTGCTCCCATAGACTCTGCCCTTAAGTCCGTCCGTGCACAGCGGCCAGAGTTTTCCAGCAACAGGTTCCGGGTGTTGAGTGTCTGCGGTGGCTCCCATGGGTCTCCTGCGACTTCCACCTTCTCCATTTCAACCCCTGCACCCTTCACACTCTCTGCGTGACGCCTTTGCTTTAGCAGAAAAGTCTCTCCTCTGCTCTATTCAACAAGCATTCCCGGAGCATCCGCCAAGCGCCAGGTAACGTCGGGGACCCGGAGACAGTGCGCTAAAACACCTGGAGGGGCGTGACCATCGTCACGTGACTCGACGGGCGCCGCCCACACCCGGAAGAGGGTGAGCGACGCTGGCCCACGTGCTCCGCGGCTTCGTTCGCCAGTACCCAACATGGTGCCGGGGCGGGGCCTGGGGCGGCACCCGATGCAAGACGCGGATTGTGACGCAGACGCGCGGCGTGCTCGGTGCGCAGGCGCTCTCGGCGGCGAATCGGCGGTTTCCGGTTCCGCCGCCCTCTTTTTCTTCAACGAGGCTCCAGAGCGGGTCGGTGGCCGAGGTCGTGCGGGTTGGCGCGGGGCGGCTTGCGGGCGGTGGGCGAGGTCTCGGGAGGCGAAGAGGGAGACCCCGAGCTCGCTCGGGCGGGGCAGCCCCGGGGGTGGCGAACGGGCACGTGAGCCCAGGCTCCCAGCTGGGACGGGGCTCCCCGAGGCGGACGCGGCTCCGGGGAGGAGCCCGAGCGATCCCTCGAGGCGGGAATGGAGCCTCCTGGATGGCCCCGGGTGGATAGCGAAGGGGCAGTAGGCGGTGGCGCTGCTGTGTTGTGCGCCGGGCCTTTGGAAAGGATTGGATTTCTCAGGTTGGGTGCTCGTACCTCACTCTACGTCAATAGACGTTAACTTTCTAGACTGTTTCCTAAATTTCCTTTTAAAGTGAAGCGTTATCTAAACAGATACCTGGCACGTGTTTGGCAGATAATAAGTGGTAGCTTTTGTTGTGTTTTTGGTGCTACTGGGGATGGAACCCGGGGCCTCGCGCTTGTTAGGCAAGCCATCTGCTGCTGAACTCCATCCCCAGTCCTCGTCACTATTGCTTATGGGTTGGAGCAAAGGCAGTAAGTGGGATCTGGGGAGTTTAGGTCTGAGAAGGAAGCCAAGAGTGTTGGACATCTCATCTTTATGTTAAGAAAGGAGAAAGGGGTGTGTGGCATGTTGGAGAGATGGCTACTGGGATGGCATTCCCGTGTAGGTAGTAAGGGAAACCTGTAGGACAGTCCAGGAACTTGTCGAAACAGGGGAGGATGGCGCCATCCTCAGGGAAGATATGCCTGGCAAAGAGAATGCCTCCCGGTACTTGTCATGTATATCAGCAAACACTGAAGGGGATATCTCCTCTGCCCAACTTGAAGGACACTCCTGCAGGCTTGTGGGTATAGCTTAGTGGTAGAGCACTTTCCCAGCATGTGCAAAGCCTGGATAACATCCCCAGTACCTGGGGTTGTGGGGGAGGGCATGGCATCCAGGAGTAGGGCGGAGGAATTGGTCCCTTGGTACAGGACAGGTTTAGGCTAAAAACCAGAGTGTGTGAGAAGACAAGCGCAAGGCACAGGCCTGAAATTGTGGTCAATGCAGGTACAGGAGGGCTGTCAGGCCTGCTTTGCTCACCACTCCATCCTGCTTTCCAGCAGACGCAGAGATGCAGATCTTTGTGAAGACCCTGACGGGCAAGACCATCACCCTCGAGGTTGAGCCCAGTGACACCATCGAGAATGTCAAAGCCAAAATTCAAGACAAGGAGGGTGAGTTGGGCTGGGTCAGTGGGGGCTCTGTCCTGTGAGCTAGGTGCTGGATTTGGACAGACCCCAGGTTTGCCAGTGTTTCCCTGTGATCCCTTGGAAAGAAAGCTTCATCTTAAACTCAGTTGTCCTTTTGAAAGATTGGGATTGGTACTAGAGCACCCCTGCAGGGGAGGGCCCACCAGTGAAATGTGGATAATTTTAGTAATTGAGCTTCCTTCTTTTTCCAGGCATCCCACCTGATCAGCAGCGTCTGATATTTGCAGGCAAACAGCTGGAGGATGGCCGCACTCTCTCAGATTACAACATCCAGAAAGGTACTAGGGTGGGGCTGCTAGACCAGGCTCCATGAGCCCTCAGTCCCTGGACAGAGCATTAGTGGACTCAGTGGCACTACAGAGGGAGGCAGTTCTTAAGACGAGGGGTCAGTACAGTGCCAGGTACTCCAGAGGCTGAGGCAGGAGTGTTGATGCTCTAAGTTAGCCTGGGCAAGTATAAGCCCTATCTCAAAATTAAATATGTTAAAAAAGGGTGGAGGGTTAGGGTTGTAGCTCAGTGGTAGAGTCCTCCTGGATTCCATCACTAAAAATGAAAAAGGGGGGAAAAAAAGAAAAAATGAGCACTGGAACTGGGATTGTGTGGTAGATAGCATACGGGAGTGCAGGAGGCCCTGGATTCTGTCCCCAGCACCCCCACCCCCCAAAAAAAGTGATTAGGGAAATTTTTATTACTGTTATAAAGAAAATTAGTGTCTCGGGGCTGGGATTGTGGCTCAGCGGTAGAGCACTCGTCTAACTAAACATAGGTATTGTGTCCAACTTCTTCTAAAAAAATAAAGAAGAAGAGGAGGCTGGGGTTGTGGCTCAGAGGTAGAGCGTTTGCCTGGCATGCATGAGGCCAAAAAAGAAGAAGAAATTTAATGCCTCTTCACTGTGGTAGTTATAATGTTTAATGTAGAGTTGCCGGATGATTCTCCATAGAGTGTCTGTGGGCAGGTCCGGCCAGCCCTTTGTGTCCATCTACACATAGACCACTTGGGATCCTGCTTGGAGTTCTCATTACGTAATATGAGAAGCACCAGTCTACCAGGTGACAGAAAGCCTTGCTCAGTGACTGAGGTGCTAGGACTGGGCTCAGCTGATGTCCTCTTGTCTCCTGCAGAGTCCACCCTGCACTTGGTGCTTCGCCTGCGAGGTGGCATCATTGAGCCTTCTCTGCGCCAGCTTGCCCAGAAGTACAACTGTGACAAGATGATCTGTCGCAAGTATGTGTGCTCAGATGCTTGGGTGGGGTGGCTGGAATAAGGGGAAGGTGGGCCCTCATTAGCTGCTCCTATCCCTTACACAGGTGTTATGCCCGCCTGCACCCCCGTGCTGTGAACTGCCGCAAGAAGAAGTGTGGCCACACCAACAACCTTCGCCCCAAGAAGAAGGTCAAATAAAGCCCCTCCACTGGCTCCTTTCCCCAAGGAGTGGCCTCCTGCCCAAGCCCCATGTATGGCCTTGGGACCTCAATAAAATTTCCCTTACATTGACTGGAGCAGTAACTGGTGTCCATGTGACTGTTTTGTCCAGGGAGGTGGCTGAAGAGTGGCCTATCTCCTTTGACTCTCTGTTGCCTTTGGGTCCTCTTATCCTTCTGGAGACTAAAAGAATTGGTGGTTCCTGTCCTGCACATACAGCAGGTTTTGTTGAAGCCAAAGCACAAGCAGGTTTCAATTAGGGCTCTGCCAAACATGTGCTTTGTCATCTAATATGGAAATTAGGACCTGGTGGGGACCAAGGTCTGCTGTGTCATTGCCTGGGATCTAGTTGACATTTGGAGGTGTCCAGGTGTGGATGAGTAGACAGGTAGGTAGACCATTTACTGACAGTAAATGCTTCTTAGTTTTGAGTGAAAATTATTAGCACATGTGAGACCAGTCATTCCTCAAGGTTGGTTTTGCTGGGGGTGGACAGGGCCTCATGTGCACTAGACAAGTGCTTTGCCACTGAGCTGCACCCACACAGCCTACCTTAAATTTTGATTGGTACTCAATGTAGGTTATGTCAGACATGCCAATGACTCCCTCTCCTGCAATGCCATCTAAGGGCTACAGTCTTAAGTCACCCCATTCTTCAGCTAGTCCAGTTGCCACCTTGTTGACTGCCCCTCCCTGGTCTAGGTCATCACCATCTGCTATGGCCCATCCTCCAGAGTCCCAGACCTATTATTTTGAGCCAGGGTCCTCACTAAGTTGCTGAGGCTAACCTCAAATTTGTGATCCTCCTGTCTGCCTCTAGAGTTAGTGGGATCACAGGTGTGGGCTGCCACACGTGGCCTATTTCTCCTTGGAAAGTTCCAAAACCACCTCAGCACTTAAAATGCTTTGCTATCCCTGTTGCCTAAGGCTCCCACCTCAGGGCCTTTGCATAGGACCCCTAATTCAGCTCATTTTTTGGACACTTACCACAGTACCTGCCAGTAAATCATCTCAGTGGGCCCGGATGTTATTGGACAAGAAAGGTGTATGCAAAAACCTGAGCTAATATCCTTACAGTATTCAGAGTACCGGGTTCCAGTAAGGACAAACCAGGTGGGCGCCAGGCAGGAATTAACTAATGAAGGATGGGGCCTGCTGTCTGCGGCTTGGCCTGTCTCAGGATCGGAGTCCCTTGACCTCCGGACCTGCAGGGGGCGCCAGGCACAATGGAGCGGCCTGTCTTGGCGTGGCCCCGACTGCGCAGTCATGATCACTACTGGGGCGGCAGCGGAGAACGCCGTTCCCGCGGTGCTTGACGTTGCGGATGCCACCGGAGCTGGGACACTCGCGGAGCCGGTGTGGCCCTGGGTGAGTCGCGGCTCGAGCGAGGACGGGCGTCGGGCGGGCGGTGCAGGCCCAGAGCGCCGGCTTCATGCCCCAAACTTGCCCCCCCGCCCCGCAGAAAGATGCCCCGATCCGGACGCTGGTGCAGCGAATCCACCAGCTGCAGGATGAGCGCGCGCAGGGTTTCCGCAAACTGGAGGAGTGAGTGCGGGCGTGGGGCCGCGCCGGGCGCGCAGGGTTCAGTCCGGGGCCCAGTTCGGGTATGGGTATGTCAGTGGCGGGAGTGCCCGGAGGCAGAGCTGGGTCCACACGAGGCTGCCCTATTAGAAGTGGGACGGAGTTTGAAGAGGGATCAGTTCGTAACTAATTTAAACTCTTAAGGACCCGGAGAGCGGTCCCCTCTTCCCTTGCTAGAGTCAGGAAGCCTCTTTACAGTAGGTCGTCCAGTCTCTGGGGTGCGGGTACGCCCCCTGCGGGTTGGTGCGGGTGCCTGGCCAGGGAGCGCGTACTCACATCCTCACCTGCTTCAGAGGCCACCGCCAGTACCTGCGGAGCGGCCCGCACTACGACTTCCCAGGCTACCGGAACACAGTGCACGAAGTGACCCAGGCCTTCGCTGCCGCCTCGCGGGAGGTGCTGGCGGTGGAGGCAGAGCTGGCTGGACCTCGCGCGCAGCCCCTGCTCGCAGGCCACGTGCGCAGCCTGCAACAGCTGGAGCAGACGCGCCTGGCCACGGTGAGACCACGACCTCCTTCCTCCGCTGTGTCTGTCACTGGCCTGCTATGCTCATTACCGCCCCTTAGGGAAGGGCCCCAGTCCCTGTCCCACACTCATTTCTGGGAGTCCCAGGCCCCACCCCTTCCTGCCACACCTCAAAACTCCCTAAGTCTTCATTGAGAGATTCTCCGTTGCCTCTTACCCAACCCCAGTTTTATTCCAGGTTTTGTTCTTAGTTCAGGACGTGCTCACTTTACTCCAGCCCCGCTTAAACGCTGTTCCTAGAAGTGGGGACACTGCCTCACGACTGCATCCGCTTTGGCTTTTTCATTGCCTGAGGTCCCACCCTCAACTACTGCCCTGGGGAGCAGGGATTCCCAGGCCACACCCACCCCAGTATTCCTCTCTACCTACTAGTTTTCAGGCCCCGCCTACACTTCTCCTGCAGCCAATCCTGGCAGAGAGGGCTACATCCACGTGTAGCCACGCCCATATTGCACAAGAAATTTCCCCTCCAGACCCCAGTATTTTCGACCTACTCCCACCCATGGGTCATAACCCCACCCTGCTTTTGGGACTATGATGCCCCGCCCGCTACACAAGCCACACCCACACATGACCAAGTCCATTTCAAGTGCGGACTCCTTCCCCCCCCCCACAGACTCCTGAGAAACGCTGGACTCTTCACACACAAAGCTCCACCCCTCATGGCCCTACCCTGCAGCTTTTTGGAGGGAGGGGGTACCAGGATTGAACCCAGAGGTGCTTACCACTGAGCCCCAGCACCCTCCCCCCCTTTTTTTTAAATTTAGAGACAGGGTTTCGCTGAGTTGCTTAGGGCCTCACTAATTTGCTGAGGCTGTCTTTGAACTCATGATCCTCCTGCCTCAGCCTCCAAGCCGCTGGAATTACAGGCGTGCCCCTGTAATTTAATTTAATACCTAATCTTTATTTTTAAGTAGCAGGGGAGGACAGAGTGGTTTCTGCTTTCTGTGACACCCTCCCCACTGTCCATTCTCCCACCAGGTGGCTCTGCTGCAGCTGATGGGGACACCAGAACTGACTGGGCAGGAGGACACTGAACAGATGCAGCAGCTGAAGATGAAGTGAGCTTTGCTGCCCACTGGGCTGGCCATGCCCGTTTTGCTGGCACCCTCAGGCCCCGCCCTAGCCTGCTGTTTCCTCAGGCTGGCCCAGTCACATCTGGCCAGTTGAGCAGCCTCTCTGGATCCCTATACAACCTTTGGTATTTATACCAGTGTCCCAACCTGGTGGCCCCAGATGTACACATTCCACGGAATACATACCCTGTGACTTCACATCAGAGGCACCCTGAGCATTGCCAAGACACAGCTGTCCGTCTCAGCACACGCCGACCTGCACTAAGAGCTTGGACGTAGGCCCCCATGCTCCACTGGCACATGCCTGCACACTCCTTTTATCTTTTTTTGGTGGGGGATGGGGTGGCACTAGGGAACTACCCTAGGGAGCCTTACCACTGCTCTACACCCACTGCCCTTTCTATTTTTTTTTTTAATGTTTTTAATGTTTTAATTTTTTTTAATGTTTTAAATTGCCAAGGCTGGACTTGAACTTTTGATCTTCCCGCCTTAGCTTCCCTACTTGCTGGGAATAAGGACATGTGCCACTGTGTCCTGCACGTCTGCACATTGTCCCTGACTTCCAAACACATGCTCTCATGCACACATGCTAGACATTTGCCAAGCTGTCACTCTGTAACCTCTTGATGGCACGCATGCCTCTCCCCCAAGACGGCCCACTTTGACCCAAGGAGCCATCCCTCTTCAGGCCCCCTCCCAGGCTAGTGCTGCCTGGAAGTTTGACGGCGGGCAGGAGGGCCCAGGGCTTGCCACAGCCCCCTCCAAGCTAGTTGCGCGGTGCCGGCTAATCCGCCCCATCTGGGTCTTATTTATAGTTTCCATCCGTTCTTGTAGGGTAATTAAAACCATGGAGGCCATCAGTGAGGTTCTCCAGGACCTCAGGTTTGATGCGGAATCTGCCGAGTGACCGTGGCTCTCCAGAGATGTTCAGAGGAGATGGGAAAGGAGACCAATGGCGTCCAGCCCGACCCTGACCACCTGGCTGAGGTCATGCTCCTCTGGAGCTGCAGACCCTGCTCCAGTTCAGTGTACCTCACAATAAAGAGTCCTTCCTCTGCCATCTCTGTGTTCTGCAGTACTGGGGTCCCTGTGTCTGGGGAAGGGGTTCCCCAGGCCAGAGAGGGCTGGGGGAAAACTCTTACCCTGCCCCAGAACTGGTGTTTTGTTTTTTGAGATGTGGTCTTGCTGGTCTTGAGCTTGTCAGTTTAAGCAATCCCCCTGCCTCAGCCTCCTGAGTAACTGCGACTGTAGTCCCCACACCCCACTTGAAACTGGTGTTTTGAATCACACCCTTGAGGAGTTCAGAACCAGAGATTGTGGATCCTAGAGAAAGTGTCTGAAATTCTGGGAGGTGGGGCTTCTAGTAGGGGAGGCTTCTAGTGACCGTAGGGTCATTAGGATGCCTCACAGATCTCCCCCAAACCCACAGCCCCCACTCCCAGGCTTCAAACTCACCTTCACAATCAGAGCACCTAAATAGCTCATTTATTTTAAAATATTCTTTTGGAGGGTTACTGGGGAGCAAAAGTAATGACTTCTCTTTACTCCCAGCCCTGTAGGGGTTCTGGTAGCTCAACCAGCTCATGTCCCAACATAACACCGGAGGTGCACCCAAGGGTGGCCTGACAGGGGGGCCAGAGCTGTCCGAGCTCAGAGCACCTGCCCCAGCTCCTGCTGATGGTGCTCAGGTGCCCTAAGGTGAGAGTACAAAGGTGGCCCCAGTTTGAGTTCAGCCTCTGGGTCTCCACTTGGCCAGGAAGGTAGCCCCATCCCTAGAGTTTATCTGGCAGGACCTGCAGGCAAAAGGGAAGCCAGGTGAGACGGGCAGCCTGGGCAGGGTCAGCCTTCAGGTCCTGTTCCCTCCCACTAGCTGTGTGTCCTTGGGCAGGATATTGCACCTCTCTGTTCCTGTTTCCCCATCAGAGAAGTGGAACTGATCATCCTCTGGGCTATCCTGCCAGTAAAACCCTTGGCAGAGCCCGGCAAGCCGTAGAAGCTCATTCGTGTTAACTAGGGTGAGTATGTTCATTCCTGAGGATGAGATTCCACCTGCAACATTACCCGCCAGGCACACAGTAAGTGCTAAGTAAATGCAGATGAGTAAGAGGAGGAGGAAGGATTCCATTTGGGCGACTCAGGTTGAGTGTGCTGGGCAAGGCTCACAGTCACCCCAAATACTCCCACCCACCCGGGCCCACCTTACCTCTCGCCGCGCCCCGTCTGCCCGAGGGCAGGATCCCCTCGTCCTGTGCTTGGAAAGAAGACAGCAGTGTCGTGGCGGGTGCTGCAGACCTGGCCCCCAGCCCGCTCCCTCTCCTTCCGCCTTCCTCTCCGGCCGGTCCTCGCAGCTCCCAGCCTCCACCCTCCGCCCTCCTCCCGCCCACCTCCGTGCCCGCTGGTCCCTCCTTCCTACCTGGTTGCGGGTCTTGTGCGACTTCTGCATCCAGGCTCGCCACTGGTCGTAGAGGCGGAAGCTAAGGTTCGAGCAGTACGCGTGCTTCTTGAGCCAACCCAGGAACTGCTTGAGCTCGCGCCGCACCGGCCCCGAGCTCGGCTCGCCACCCCGCGGCTCGCACGCGCCGCCGCCGGGGCCCGGGCGCTCTAAGGGGAGCGGAGCATCAGGGCCGTGGCGCGGCCGGCAGGGGGCGTGCGCGGACCGGAGAGGGAGGGCCCGGCGCGCGGGAGCGCGTGCCCCTCGAAACCCTCGGCTCCCCGGACCGCGTCCTCCCCGCCGCCCTGCACAGCAGCCCAGCTGCGCCCCGGCCCAGCTGCACCCCTGGGGAGGCAGGGGGCAAGGAAGGGAGTCCTCCTCCACGTCTCCTCCAGGGACCCGATTCCTGTGGCCAGAGCCAGGTGTAAAGGGAAGGAGGGGGGAGGAGAGGGGGCCGAGGAGATGCCGAGCAGGCGGCGGGAAAGAAAGGGCGAGAAGCCGAGGAGACAGGGGGGTGGAGAGGCAGAAAGAGTGCGAGACGGGGACAGAGGCGAGATCCAGGGAGGGCGACATTTGGAGGGCGGAGTGGTGGAAGAAAGGACAGGATGGGGACAGACTCGAGGGACACTGCCCAGGAAAGAATTCTCAAGGCACAGCAAAAATTAAAGGGGGGAAAAAAGGAAGAGAAGGAGAAAAAGAAAAGACACAGGGCAACAGCGACAAAAAGATGGAGGGAGGCAGAATGCAAGAGGATCCCAAGGGGACAGTCCCCAGGATGAGCCTGGGAGCATGAGCTAGTGCGGCAGGGAGTGGGCCCAGAAGGCCAGGTGGGAGGCGCTCCTGTGGGTCCAGCCGCCGGCCGCAGCCAGCCCCAAGCAGGCCGGCGGATAAGGACATCGGCATCACGTCATAAATAAAGCCGGGGACCCGCTGACAGGCCCTGGCACGGCCCCGGCCCAGGCCGCCCCTGCTGGCCTCCCCCGGCCTCCCCAGCCTCCCCGGCGGACTCAGCCGCCTGCTGGCTCCCGTGCAAGAATCGCAGGTGCTGGGCACGAGCAGGGGCCAAGGCTCAGCCCCTCCCAGCTGTGCTTGCTCCCTCCCATCCCAGAACCTGGAGGGGCCCCGGGCTGGGGGCTGGGGAGCTAGCTGGAGCGTGGTTCTGCCCCTCCCTGAGTCGGGACGTCTCTGTCTCTGGACCTCAGTTTCCCCACCATCCCACCAATGTGGGTCTGGAACTGAGTCTAGATCCCTATGTGCTCTTTTAGGGCCTCAGTGCCCTCACCTGAATAAAGGGGGCCTCCCTCGGGGTGAAATCAGGAGAGAGTGTGGGGGATGGGAACTTCCTTACCTACTGGCAGCAAATACTAAGGTGCCAACTACCACCATGTGGGCACTTGTCATGACTTATGTCACCTAAATTTTGCAACAGCTTGAGGCAGGTGTGGCTCTCAACCCCATTTTGCAGATAGGAATGCTGAGGCCAGACATTCCAAGTAACTGATTTTTATCCATTTCGAAAGGAGAGAATACAGGCTCAGAGAAACTCCCGATGACACTGGATGTCAGACCCTAATCTCTCCAACACCCTCCTCACTTATTGACTAGAAGGGGACACTGAGGTCATTGGCCTCACAAGCAGGGATCTCAAACTCACTTGCTCTCAGGATTGAAGATGGGGCAAATGCTGAGGGGCCCTGAAGGGGTGACCACTGCTGTGGGGGCCACTCAGCAATACAGGCTGGGTTGCATTTTCTACAGAATTTCTTTTTTTAGGCAATCTAGGCTATTTGTGTAAAAACTTCCTGTTGGGTCAAACTTCCAGGTGGGTCAAACTCCCCCGCCCCCAAATGCCAGACCAAATAGGTTCAGGGGCCACCTTGGGCCCTGAGGGCCAACAGTTGGAGACCTCTGCTATCTTGGAGAAAATGAGGAAACAGAGACCCAGATGCCGGGTGGTTTGGAGCAGCCCAAGGAGCACCCGGCCCTAGGAGGGGTGCTCACCGCTGCGGGGCGTGGAGGCGGCTGTGGGGTGGCTCCATTCACTCCATATCCCCGCCTTCTTGGAGCCATAGATGCCAAAGGGGTTGCAGCGCACTTGCACGAAGTACACGGTGCCTGGCTTCAGCCCCGCCAGACGGCAGGAGGTCTGATTGCTCACGTCATCTACCACCTGGACAGTGAGGGTCAGGTCAGAGGGAGGGCCTGGGGCCCAGGGGCAGGGCTGGGGAAGGGACGGGCACCTTCCAGTCCACGCTGTCCTCCACGCGGTAGCGGATCTGGTACTTGGCTTGGAAGAGAAAATCCTTGAGAGCTGGCGGTGAGACCCAGCGCACGCTCAGCTGGTCCTCCAGCCCCCCAACTCGGCTCACATGCACGTCAGGTGGGGGGTCCGTGGTCACTGCGGGAAGGAGCAGGGTCTGGTCTTCTTGGTTGGTCCCATGAGAGCCTGGGCATGTCTGGGGTCCAATCCCCCAGGAGTGTAGTCCAGGACACGTGGCTTAGGTGGCACCTGCCTCAGGCCCCCCTCTTTCTCCCACTGCCAGGATGGATGGATTACATGACATAATATTCCAGAAACACTCAGCACCTAGGAAGGCTCAATTAATGTCAACTGTTATCACTTTTTTTTTTTTTTTGGCACTGGGAGTTGAACCCAGAAATACTTAACCACTGAGCCCCATCCCCAGCCCTTTTTGTTTTTATTTTGAGACAGGGTCTCACTAAGTTGCTTAGGGCCTTGCTAAATTGCTGAGGCTGGCCTCAAACTTGCAATCCTCCCACCTCAGCCTCCCAAGTAGCTGGGATGACAGGCATGCACCATGAAGCCCAGTTTGTTATCATCATTAGTATCTGATGGGGGGAAAAACATAATCCTGTCCTCAAAGGGCTAGATAACAGCAGACGCTTTGGGGCTGGAGGTGTGGCTAGGTGCTGGAGAGTCTGCCTAGCATGTGTGGAAGCCCCAGGTTCCATTCCCAGCACACCTCAGGGGAAAAAAATTAGACACTGCCTGGCTAATGATATTATCGTTTTCAGACCCAGGGGGCTGATGCCCAGACAGGCCCCTGGGACCCTCCTCCACCCACCTCCAGTTCCTTCCCATTTGAAGCTTGCTGGGTGCACAGGGAAAACTGAGGTAGAACTTGCTCACTGGAGTTTAGGGTGTGAGGAAGAGGAAATAGGCTTGGGGGTGGGGCCACCAGCCAGGGGGTGCCCAGGCCTATTCTGCCAGCCCCGTGGGCAGTAGGCCAGGCTGGTGTCTCCCACTGAGGCCTGGGTGAGGGACAGAAAGGGTTAAAGCCCAGGCCTGCTTGGGGCTGAGAAACACCCTAATTAGATTAGGCCCAATTCTGCTGGCAGATCATCCACTTCCTGCCTCCCACCCGCGCCCCCCAGCTCCAGGCCTTGGCTTCCTGGGGCGCCTCCAGACCTGGGCGCCCCCTCCCCGCTCCCCGGGGCCCTCTCCTGCACACCTGGGCTGCCGAGGGTGGGGGGCGACCAAGCCAGGTGTTCTCTGCAGAGCAGGGACATCCTGGCTGAAGGAGCAGACTTTGAAATAAGGAGTGGATGCCCCGCTGCGCCCCCAGCCAGCAGGGAGAGATCTAGAGTTGGAACCAAAGCTGGGGCGGGGGGTTCAGGCGGGACCTCAGGAGTGGGGACAGAGGCCACAGCTGTGGCATGCCTGGGGGCTCACCCACGTCCAGGATGTCCAGCGTGAGCACATCAGAGCGCGCTGAGCCCAGGCGATTGGTGGCCTCCACCCAGATCTCATAGGGTGTAAAGAGAGCCAGGTCCTTGGGGATGTGGCAGGAGTGAGGGCCCACTGTGTGGTACTCCTCACACGTGTTGTCCTGCCCGTACCACCTGCAGGGGCAGGAGGGGAGCCAGGACACATGAGGGCCCCTTCTGGTCCCCAGATTTCACCAGGGGAGCCCCAGGGTAGAGATAGGGACATAGGGGCTCAGAGAAGGCAAGCATTGTTCCAGAGTCACACAGCCAGTGGGGCACAGGCCCCCGGTGGGCCATCACCAACCTCAGCTTGTACTTGAGGGAGTAGTTGGTGTGAAGGAAAGTTTCCCCGTGGGCCCCTGGAGTCCAGCGGCACGTGAGGTCCTTCATGTTCTTGGACCAGCAGCTGATGTTGAAGGGCTTCTCTGGGGGCACTGGGAAAAGGAAGGGTGCAGAAGGCTGAGGGTCTGAGCTAGCTGTGCAGGTGGCAGGGTCCTGATGGCTGGCTGGGCCCCTACCCTGAAGTGGAAAAAGGACAAGGAAGGCAATCTCAGCCCTGCTGCCAGAGAGCTGAGGATGAGCACGCGCATGGCCCTCCCTCCCTCCCTCTCTCATTCTAGAGATGGAACCCAGGACCTTGCATATTCTCTACCACTGCTGCACCCCCAGCCCCATAGGACCTGGAGAATGAGGGGTGGGGCCTCCAAGTTCTCCTCCCACCTGAGACATGCGCTTCTGAACCCACCTACTTCCCAGCCCCAAGCCAGAGGACCCAGGATTCGTGCTTCCCTTCTCCAGAGGGTGATGGTACTCCTAGATCTGCCCCTGGGTGTCCTGGGGACCCACTTACAGCCAACATAGAGGCAGGAGCCAGCTAGGATGCTGCCGTCGCGGGCGTGGCACACAAGGTTGTCCCCAGACTGCTGTCTGGACCCGTTGAGGTTGGCCAGAACAAGGGCCAGGGTGGAGGCATTAAGCACCCGGGAGAGCTCAGGGGGCAGGCGACGCCCGTTGAGGGTCCAGTAGAGACCCTCGGCCGTGGTCCCAGGAGGGTCCCCGTGCAGCGAGCACGTGGCTTGCAGGGAGGAGCCGATGAGGAGCGTGGGGTCCTGAGGGCTGATCACTGCGGTGTCTGGGATCAAAGAGGAGTGTTTGTCAGCCGTGGGGAAAAGCCGACACGAATCCTCCTCCAGGCCAGGACTTCCAGGGCCCGTGGGAGTCCTGAGACATTGGTTGCTCACCCCCATACCCACACTCACACATTTATAGATAAGGAAACTGAGGAGTGATTAGGTCAAGTGCCCAGTCCAAGGTTGATGGCAAAGCCAAGATCAACCCACATCTGTCTGACTCCACAACTCAGGTCCTTGCAAGTCACATCATCATTGACTTGAGACTCTCTGAGCAGTGAAAAAAATCAGACAGATTTTTTTCTCTGAGACATTGACTCAGAGACTCTCTGAGCAGTGAAAAAAATCAGACAGAGCTGGGCACAGTGGTGCAAGCCTGTAACACCAGCAACTCCGGAGGCTGAGGCAGGAGGATCTAAAATTTGAGGCCAGTCTCAGCAAATCACTGAGGCCCTAAGTAACTTAGTGAGATGCTTACTCAAAATCAAACATAAAATGGGTTAGGGATATGATTTAATGGTAAAGCGTCTCTGAGTTTAATCCCCAGTACCAAAAAAGCAAGTCAGACATAAAAGCCCCACAGATCCAAGTGATTCTTGCTTTGCACATAGTCTGATAAACTTTCTTTTTCCTGTTTTCTTCTTCTCCTTCTGCTCTTCTTCTTTCCCTCCCCCCCCCCTCTTTTGCAACTAGAAACAAAATTTGTGAGTTCTTTCTTTGACCTCCCAGAGTCTCACACATAGTAGGTATTTCTGTGAAGGGAAGGCACTTTTTTAAAGAGAGCCCTGTTCCTACTAGATGAACCATTAAGGGCACCATTTATTGAGCACTGTTGAGTTTTAAATACTGGGTGGGTCTGTAATCCCAGCTGACTTGGAAGACCGAGGCAGGAGGATCACAAGTTTGAGGCCAGCCTCAGCAACTTAGCAAAACCCTATCTCAAAATAAAAAAATAAAAAGGAGGGGCTGGGGCTGTAGCTCAGTGGTAGAGCCCTTGCCTGGCACGTGTGAGGCTCTGGGTTGGATCCTCAGCACCACATAAAAATAAATAAATAAAATATAGGTATTGTGTCCATCTGCAACTAAAACAAATATATAAAATTAAAAGGACTGGGAGGGGGTAGCTCAGTAGCAAAGTGCCCTCCACTTCTGCATAACACATGCACGCACGCATGCACACCGGGCCAGGACTTTCCCTGCATTTTCTCATCAAATCCTGCTCATCTTAAGCAGAGGCTCTGAAAGTTCGAGTTCTCTTGTCCTAGTTCACCAACTGTTGGAGGGATATACTAGTTAAACCCAGATTTGTGGGTCTCCAAAGTCCTGCTCTGCAGTCACTGGAGATGAAGGTGGCGGTGGCAAGCTCTAGGCCCCCGACTCCCATCCAAAGGGACTTTACACTGTTGCTCTTTCCCTCGCCTCAGTTTCCCTAATCTGCAAAGGAGAAGGGAGAAAGGTCTGGGTCATTGTGAAGGTCAGGTGGGAAGGGAGGCCCTCAGCTGGGTTGTGAGAGTTGGGGGCTGGGCAGGGGTGCCTCTTTTCCTATCAGCCACAAGGCAGTTTCCCTTCCTGGTGATCAGAACCTAAAGGAACCTATTAGCCAATGGGAAACCACAGCTCAGAGAAGGGAGGGGGGATGGGCAGGCCAAGCCCCTGATGCCTCTCTGAGTCTCAGTTTCTCCTTGTGGAAGTTCATCCTGGTATCAACCCCAGGGCGTTTTGCCAGGACATCCCTGTGCCAGGCTGAGCTGGGCTTGACTGCTCCTAGCTCCTGAGGACCTCTGACTTAGTGGCTTTACTTCTCTGAGACTCTGAGAAAGGGCTTCTTAGCAGCTATGAGGGCCCGTCCAACTCACTGATTCATCCATTTACAGAAAACCTCCAGTGGTCTAGGAGCTGGAGACACCCTGGGGACTAAAACACAAAATTCCTGCCCTTGTGGGCCTTACATTCAAGAAAGCAGCAGGGGAAAAAAAAAAAAAAAAGAACAGGAGGACGAGGAGAAAGAGGAAGAGGAAAAGGAGGAGGATCAAGAAATATCTAAGAGAAAGAAAAAGGGACAAGTTAAGCAGGGCCCATAGGGAGTCAAGTCAGAGAGGGCAGCTTGGATAGGCCAGGAGTCCTGTCTGGGGAGGAGACATTTGAGCTGAGACCAGAATAAAGAAAGGGAGGTAGATGTGAAAACTTCTAGGAGACAGTACCCTACAGGTGAGTGCAAAGGCCCTGGGGCAGGGGTGTGTGTGGGAAATGAGGTTTGGCATGTGAGCAGGGATGCGGACCTGAGGGAAGCAGGGAGCCTGGGGTTCCATTTATATTTTAAAAGGACTCTCCAGGGGGCTGTGAGGAGGGCTTGAAGGGGCACAGGGGCAGTCCAGCTTCTCAGAGATGGCCGCCAAGGACGGGGCGATCCAGGCCCCTAGGGAGGCCCCTTGAATGCCAGTATCTGCCGGCCCTCTCCCTCAGCCTCACCGCCCCAGATGGGCGAGGTGGGACGAACACGGTTCTCTGGCCTGGCCCTGACAATTTTCCGGGGCAAACTTGGCTCGAGGGCCCTGTCTTGCTGGAGCCTGGGATCGCAGTTGCGTTTGGGGCTTGGCCCAGGGCTCGCCGGAGGTCTCGGCGTCCGTGCGAAGGAGCCGGCGGAGCAGGCCAGAGCCGGGGAGGCGGGGGCGGCCAGGGGGCGGGGGGCCAGGGGGCCGCCCCGGAGGTCCCAGGCAGCCAGCCGCCCGCTAATTCGGAATTCCTTCGGCATGAACTCGGGCGTGCCAGCGTCTCTGCCCCGGCCCACCCACCGCTTCCTGCCTGGGCCCCCCCAGCAGGGTGGGAGGCGCGGCCGGCCTGCCCGGACCCCAGGCCCACTCTTGGCCCTCCCCGTGGGTCCCGCCCTCCTGCTCCCCCACCCGCAGTCCCGGTCTGGCCAGAGAGGGGCTCTCTGGGGGGTCTTGGCTGGGGGGCACTGCCCCTCTGCCACACCCGCCTGGCCTGGCCTGGCGTGGCCCGTTTGCCAGCAGCTGCAGCTGCCCTCCCAGGGCTGAGGGAGGGATGGAGGGGGGGAAACAAGGCTAGGCTGGCCGGAGGGACGGGCCAGCTCCCCACCCCCTCCACCCCAGCAGGAAAGGTCAGGGGGATGCTGCCCCTCCCAGCCCCTGAGTACCTGCGCACCTGGCTTCCCGCTCCCGGTTCTCAGTCTTCTCCTCCATATAATGGGGAGGAATGCATTCTACCTGCTGGTGCACGGTGTCAAGAGGACCTGGCGCCCTTAGCACCGCAGGACCACAGGATTACAGCGCTTCCAGGCCGGGGGTCCAGGCGGGATTGGCACTCTCTCCAGGCCTCAGCAAACAATGGGCCAAGGCGGTCTGGGACTGGGACATGCACACTCCAGGCCAGGCAGAGGAGCCGCTGGGATCAGCCCCTGAGCCTGGCAGAGGGGCTTGGCCTGGTTTGGGGGACCTCCTAGAGGAACCCCCTAAAGCAGATCCCTAGCTTGGGCTTTTGGACAGCCCCCCTCCCCTACTTTCCTGCCGAGCTGGGGCCTTTACAAGTTTTTTTCTCTTCCCCCTTCCCAATCTGGAGCCACTGCCGTTATTAAAAAGGAACACCATGTGTTTTAAAAGGGAAAAGTGTGAGATTCTCTGAAAGCCGAGCGGGAGGGTGGCCTCTGTCCCAGGGTCCCCACGGGGGTCCCCATCTCCAGTCCCGCTGGTACCTGCAGACACTTTATGACCCACCCGCCTGCTGATCAGGTGCTAAGACACCCCATAAGTAGAAACATATTGCCGAGGTGTGAGAATCTTTTATTTAATTTCTTCCCCCTTAAAGGAAAAAACACACACACACAACACTCCCACCCCCCACCTTCGCCTGTTGCTCTAGGGGCTGGGAAACAAAGCTTGAAGCTATTGGTGGCACTCACAGGCTCTATCCTTGGCCTGGCAGAGTCATTAGGACCCCAAGAGGGCCCTGGGTAGGCCCCCACCTGCCCAGGTGCCTTGAGCAGGCTAAGCTTTCAGCGAGTGTCCCCAGGGGGTGCCGGGACCCTACCCTTTTTGGAGGAACACCACGAGAGAGAGTATGGGAGATTGGGAGCAGTATGTGTCCAGTCCTTGGCCTGTACCCCTGGATGGGGCTCATGGATGATTGTGAACGTCTGGGGAAGACTTTCCGAGTGTGCCCCTGTTGCCTCCCCTGTGGAATGAATGTATGACCACGAATGTGTGTGTGTCAGGGATGGAATGTGTGTGCGCGCTACGATGGTGTGCGAATGTGCATCTGGGATGCAGTGTGCGCGCGTCTGAGGGCGAGGGTGACGGGACACAAGCCAGTGTGAGTCTTTGTGTGTCTCTGGGTGTGTCCCAGAGCGGGTCTGGATGTGGAGTCGTATCCTGGCGGGGGTGTGCATTGGGTGAGGGGGGCCGGAGAATGCCTGAGGCCAGGAGCTCTCTATAGAAAAAGGGTTTCTCGGATTGCGGGTTCCCAGTGGACCCCCCCGAAAATATGGGCCGGCGGTGCCCGGACTCACTGGCTCCCGCTCCCTCTAGCTCTCACCCACTCGCTCACAAAGATTTCTCTCGCTGGAGGCTCTCAGCCCAGAGCAGCCCGAGTGAGAAGAGTTCTGAGAGCCGCCGGTGACAGAGACTTCGAGGACTCCAGTGTGCGGGGTCCCGTAGGGGGAGGGCGGCGGCGCCGGCCCGAAGAGAGGCACGTCCCTGGGGACCCCGGGCCGCGCGCCAGGCGGTCAGAGCGGGCCCCCTCCCGCCCCTCCTTCCCCGCGGGGCTCATCCCTCCTCCCGAGGGGGCCCACTCCCGGCCCGCACCCAGTGCGCCAACCGCGTGCGCCCCCGCCGGGGAGCCGTGCCCCGCGATCCCGTGGCTCCGCGACCGCGGACGCAAACGCGTGCGCTCGATGCGTTCCAGTGTGCAGAGGGTCCAGGGCCGTGGTTCCTCGGCCCCTGGGGGCCTGGCTAAACGCCCTTGGCCTAGCGGCCCAGGTAAGAAGGCCTCGGGACCAGAGGCCGGACCCTCGGGCCGGAGGACTGTGGAGCCGTGCGCCCCGCAGGTGAGGGCGCCCCGAGGGCGGCGCCGGGGGCGCCTTCCTTTGTTCCCGGGGCCGTCCAGGTGGCGCCCGCGCCCCCTCCCCCCGCGACTGCCCCCTGGGCGCCCGCTCTCGGCTTCGGCGCGAGGTGGGGAGCAGGACGCCGGTACTCACGGGCTCCTGATCCAGCTCGCGGCACCCCGAGGACGCAGAGCAGCAGCAGCGGCAGCAGCGGCGGCGGCCGCCGCGCGGATTGGGCGGCGGGGCCCGGGCGGCCGGCGGGCATGGGGCCGGCGCTGCCTGGGGAGCGCGGCGGGCGGTGGCTGCGGCGGCGGCGGCGCGGGGCGCGAGGAGTGGACCGGGCGCGGGAGGGCGCGGGTCGGGCAGCCCGCACGTCGCTGGGCGCGGACGCGGAGGCCGGAGCAAGTCTGAGCAGCCGAATTGACAAGGCGCTAATGCGCCGCTGGCCCCGCCCGGCCCCGCCCCCGGCCCGGCCCGGCCCCGGGGGGGCTACGGGCCCCGCACCGGCCTCCCCGCCACCCGCCCGCCCGCCCGCCCGCGGGCACCGCGCGTCCCGCCCGTCCGGCCTCCGCCCCGCAGCGAACCGAGTGCGCCCGGTCCCGCCGCCCAGAGCCCCCCACCCATTCCTTACCCGCCAGGGACCTCCCTCTCCAACCCAGCCAGCGCCAGGCTCCCCACCCCCAGTCTGGGACCCAGCGCCCGGAATTCCGTTTCCATACCTCTGTCCACTTTCCGCACCCTGCCTGTGGCCCAGTGCCCTTTCAATGTCCCCTGCGGCCCCCAACCATGCCCCGTTCTTCGCTAACCCCCTTCCCCAGTCCTCCCTCTGGGCCCCCACCCCAGTTCTGGCCCCGCCCCCCCACCGAGCGGTCCCTGAGCCCCGCCTACCCCAACTTCCAGCCCCTCTTCCTCCCTAGGGGCTTGAAAGTCGTCCCCAGCCCCACGCCTTCGGCGCGCGGGTCCCACCGGTCTGGGCCCTCCCACTTCATCCCGCCTCTCTTCGTTCCTCGGTGCGCAGCCTCCTCGGCCGGCCCTGGGCTTGGGCTGGAGGAAAGGAGCAAAAGCAGGAAGGCAGAGTCCCCGGCCCTCGCGCTGGCTGAGCTGTCCCACTTGCGAGGAATGGTTTTGGGGTTGCTCGAGAGGCGTCCCGGAGCCTCAGGAGGGGGCTACTACTTGGGCAGACGGGGAAACGTGGGCCCCCGTGGGAGCGGGAACCGGGTCCCGCACTCGGGATAGGAGGGATTCCCATGAGCAGAGCGTAAGGAGGACTTCTCCTGGGACACATTCACATCCCCCCCACGGAAAAATCCACTCAGCGGCCCGCGGGTGGGGTGCGCCACGCGGTGAGTAATCGCTCCGGCGGCCTCCGCCCGCCAACTCCAGGTATCGCCGGCTGCCTGGAGCGACGCATAGTTTATCTTCCTTTTTTGCGCTAAGATCCTTCTCCGTGTTATTATTTTTGGCCACTGCTCGGGTTTCGGGACCCCTCCCGGCTCCGGCGTCTTATCCCCCTCCTCTTCATCCCCACCCGATCCGGGCGCCCACGAAAAAAGGTTACTGGCCTCCAAGGCCACCGCGAAGGGGGCGCCTGAAAAGAGAGTTATGGGGTGGTCCCAGCCCTACGGGTGGGTCACAGCCCCGCCCCCAGCTGCAGCCAGGAGAGGGAGAGGGCTGTAACTCTCCCTTCCAGGGTTTTCTTGAAGAGGTATGGACCCTCCCTTCATGTCCCCAACAGGCCGGGGCCGCGGTCTGAGGAGGGCTCGGGCTTCCCCACCTTGTCTGCTCATGACTGCCCCTCACCCTCTCCTGGGATCCCCAGCTCAGACTCAGAGTGTCAAAAAAGATAAATGGAGGAGGACTTGGGATGCAGGGCATCCCCCTCATCTGGACTCTCGATGGGGCTTTGGGGGGAGGAGGTGTGGGGGGAGTAACCAAGAGTGAATACTGTTGTTTCCTGCAACAAACCAGGCCTCTTTTGCCTCAGTTTCTTCTTCTGAAGTGGACAACTGGGGCCAATCTACAGATTGCTAGAGGAAAATGCAATGGAGCAGAAGTCCCCAAAACCTAAGCCCTTAGGTTTTAGGTAGCCAAGGCATATTCCCCGGAGCAGAGGTGGCCCCCAGGTCTATTTATCTCCTCTGGAAAATGGGGCCATAGTGCCGCTGCCAGACCCAGAGAGTTAAGTGGAAGGGGCAATTCTTGACTGTGTTTCCAAGATACCCACCACCCCTCCCCCATTGCCTCTGCCTTGCACATGTTCCCAGTGGGGGTAGTGATGTCTGACCCCTTCCTGGGAGGACTTGGGACTTCTGGAGCAACATCTTTATTTTTTCCCCATCTCTGCTCCTCCCCCCAGTCATGGGGGGAATGAGCTAGCTCTCCCTTCCACCCAGGTGCTCAGGCCAGAGACCTGGAAGCGTGCGTGACAACTCTCTCCTTCGCTCTTCCCACACGTCCAATCCATCAGCAAATCCTCTTGGCTCTGATTCCAAAACTCATCCCATTCTGAGATTCTGATCCCTTCTCCCTACCTCATCCTCTTCCAGGTCCCCTTTGAGATGGGCCCAGCTTCCTCTGGGGCTTCTCCCCCTAATCCTCCTGCATTTGTCTGAATACAGAATTTTTAAAAGAAGCAAAACAAACTTCTCGGCCCACCACCCTCTCCCCTTTCTCCCCCCCACTCCTTCGCTTGCACCAGCCGCTGCAGCCCCCTTCCCCCAAACATGCCAGGCTCTTTAGTATTGAAGGATCTTTGCACATGGGCTCTTGCTTGCACCGAGATGCTGTTCCCCAAATCTTCCCCTATATTAGCACCTTCTCTTGTGTGAGGTCCCAAGTTCTCAGAGAGCCCCCCCTCATCCTTCCCTGGTACTCTCCATCCCTGTCACTTTTATTGTCTATATATCACAGTTCTTTAAACAACTGATTTCCTTCCCCACTTGTTTTCTTAAGACCCTGAGTACCCAGAGTGTCCTTAGGACCCCATGCTGAGCCCAGAAAGGGCCAATAAAGAGCTCAATAAATATTTGCAATATGAAGGACCAAGGAGAGTTCCAACTAGCAAGAAAACTCTTTTCCAGCAAGCCATGCTGCCTCAGGTCCCAGAATGGCCCCTGACTTGCTGTGTGATCCAAACTAGTAGAAGTCCTTCTCTGGTCCTTACCCATAGAAAGGTATGAACCATTTCCCTAGTCTGTCCATCCCCATCCTGGAATGTAATCTTTGGGTGAACTTTACCCCATACCTTTGACTTATGACCCCAAGACGCACCCTTCCCTGTCCTGAGTACCCCAGCAACTTAACCCCTTCTTCCACTTTTTTTTTTTTTTTTGGTCAGGAAAAGGAACCAGGGATGAAGAAACTTCTGGCAAATATTGACCCAAGTCCTTGAAGGTGGCTGGGAATGTACTGAGGGGAAGATGAAGGGAGGGTCCCTCCATGGGGTGGGGGAAGGGCTCTTCCTAGGTCCTCCAACCAAAAGTCACTTCTGGGTCAGGATGGGGGTGTTTCAAGTCCCAGCACCTGGTGATGCCAGGGCACTGAGGAGGCGTCAGGGTAGGGCAGTTGCAAAAGGCACTTTCAGGGTCCTGTGGGACCCCAAAGCTGGTAGGAGTGCAGATAGCAGAGAGTTGCCCCTCCCAATCTGCTACCACCCCAACCCCAAGGCTGCTTTGAAGTGGAGGCTGGTTGTCCGTTTCAGGCCTGTGTGTGCCCCGGGCTGTGTAATTTCCACCCTGGAGGCTGAGCTTGGGGAGTCCCTATTCCTGGGAGAGTTAGGTGCTCTGAACTTCAGGCTCTAGAGGGGAGGCTTGGGGAATACCAGAGCTGCGCCTGGTCCTGGGCTGGGCTGGTGTGCCTCAGGGCAGGGGAGGCCTACGTGCCCTGCCCCTCTGCACCCCGAAGAAACTCCAAAGACTGGAGGGGCACCGCTGGCCGGAGAGCGGCTGCACCCCTCTTTCCCCTCCAGCCGTCAGCAAACCGCGGCGCCACGGAGCCTTGCCTCCTCCCCAGCTTGGACCCGGCTTGGGGGTGGGGGTCAACAGGGTCGTGGTGAGGGCGGAAAGGGACAAAGGGCGCTTGTCCGCCGTCCGCCCTGACCTCGGCTGCCGCTTCCCGGAGGCCTGGCGGGCCGCTGATTCACGCCGGGGCCGCCGCAGTGCCCCCCGCCCGCCGCCCCCGCCGGGCCGCCCCGGGGGGTAGGAAGTGAGGGGGGGGCGAGGGGCGGCGCCGAGTCAACTTTCCCTCTTAAGCCCCGAAGGAATGTCGGCGGATTTCCTGAAACCCGACCCCGGCCGCCCGCCGGCCCGCCCGCCCCTCACCTGGACCGGCTCCCTCGGGAACTGCAGGAGGGGCGCGGGGGGCTCACCTGGGGGGCCGGGGTCAAGTCCTCTTCCTCTCCCCTCCAGCGGCCTCCTGGCGCGGAAAGGCAAGGCGGAGGAGTGGGCGGCCAACTCTCTTCCTTTGCCCGCGGGCAACCTGGGCCAAAGGTCTCATCCCTCCAGCCTCAGTTTCCCCTTATGCAAAAAGGTGCGAGGGGTCCCTCCTTCCTTTTGCACTTTAAACAACACTTCTTATGTCTAAAGTCCCCCCCATCACACACCCTACAAGGTTTCGTAGGGCTCTGCCGGCCTCGCTTCTCTGACTTGTCACCTGGGCCACCCGCCGGGTTCCAATTTCCTAGTTTGGAAATAGGACAAAGCCACTAGTACCTATCTTAGAGGGCTGTTGCGAGAAGTGTTTTGTTTGAAATGAATGAAGGACAGGGATTGTGAAAGGGTTAAACACTGGGACTCTGAACCGGCAAGTGTGGACTTGAATCCTGGCTCTGCCCAAGAGTCTGGGAGTCTCCCACCTGTGAAATGGGGGACAATACTGGTCATAGTACACTAGGAAGCTTCCGGAGGCGTGGGCCTGGCGCAACGGTGGGTTAGCTGCCGGGTTCCCGGGCTCGATTCTCCAGCAAACGCAGGGCAGGAGGCCTTCACCGCTGGGTCGGGGCGGCCTAGCCTGGGAGGGGCGGGGCGGGGCGGGGGAGGGGCCGCGCCGGGATCCAGATGTTCGGGGTCCGCCAGGCACAGCCGCGCCTGATTAAGCCACTTGGGGGCCGGCTGGGGCCGCGGAGATGAAAGCGAGACGGCCGGCCGGGGAAGGGGGCTAGCCAGCCCGCCCCCCAGTCTCCTCCTTCCCAGCCGGAACCTGCGGCGCCCTCTGACCCGCCGACCCTGCAAGGCAGCCGCCCCGTCTGCGGGGGCGGAGCGTCGATAGGGACTTGCGGGCCTCGGCTCAGCGCGGCCTCTGCAAGCACCTGCGTCAGGCACGCCAGCGAGACCTGGGACAACTTCTCAGAGGACCAAGGTTTAGAGGCAGCGCCCCCCTTTCATGCCTAAAGGAGAGGAGGCTGAGTGGACCGCCTAACCCGATATTCTTCTCTTGGAGATCCAATCTGTCACTATG